AACAGATCTATTCTGTGGGAGGCCCAAAAAGCTAGCTGGAAACCTGAAAGCAAGATAGAGTCGGCATGGTCAATGGATGGACGCATACTTGTATCCATCAAAACTGGGGACAATAAAACAATGAAGAAGCGGATTTTTTCCGTGAAAGACATTGAAAACATATGAAAACTGATGAAATGATGAAGAACATTTTATTCTACCTGCATGAAGTTAAATTACAAGTCTTTCTTGAAGTTACCTATTTGATATCTTGAAAAAAAAGACATGTCATCAATATTTTCCAAAATTTTATGTAAGTCTAATTTTTTTCTATTTTGAATTACATCCTAGGTTAATGACCTATTCCTCTCACTTTGAGTTAATTGTATTTTTTTTTTCATTATATTTTTGTGTTAACTTGCTATATCTGCTATTTTGTAATTTGTATCTCTTATCTTGGTGTGCGTGAATGTGTGCATGAAGTGTGATTGTGTGCTATTGAAACTGTATGGATATATCTCAGCATGTATTTCCTTTCAATCAAGTAAATGATATAGAGTTTAAATGTATGTTTTCTGAAGTGCAATATGATATTACTAATAATGATATGAACTTTGATATGTTTTCGACAAGGCTTGATACAGATGAAAATGGGTCGCTTAATGATATTGATCCAGATGATAATTTTTTCACATCTAATAATCCCATTAAGTACTGGCTACCTGTTGATTTTAATGTGAACCAAGATTTAATTAATAACTATAAATAAAAATTTAGCATTCTCCACTTTAATTCTAGAAGTTTGAATAAAAATGTTGACGCTATTGATCAGTTTATTAGTCAACTTTACTTAAAATTTTCTATATATGGTTTTAGTGAAACCTGGATTCACGATAACACAATGTTATTATTTAATAGGGATGGTTACACATTTTGTCATAATGACAGACGAGGTAGGAGAGGTGGAGGGGTTGCACTCCTGGTTAATGAATTATTTGATGCTAAAGTTCGAGATGATATTTATTTACCTGAAACTCTCTGTGAATATCTTTTTATTGAAATCATATTGGATAATTGTAAAAACATAATTGTTGGTATAATTTACAGAGACCTTAATAAACCCATTTGTGATTTCAATGAGAATATGAATGCTTGTCTTGAAAAAATATCTTTAGAAAATAAATCAGTTTATATAATGGGAGATTATAACATTGATCTACTTAAATATAATTCGCTTCAATGCATTGATGATTTTGTAAATATTATGTATAACAACTCATTTCGCCCATTAATTGACAAACCTACAAGAATTTGTAAGAAGTCTATCACTTTGATCGATAATATCTTGACAAATGTAGTCACTAAAGACATTCACTCTGGTATTTTCTATAGTGATATAACGGACCATCTACCTATTTTCCAAATAACCAACCTCTCTATTAGTCCTTGTCATAGACCATCGTCATTTTTCCACATAAGGAAAACGGATCCTCTAAGTTTAAGTTCATTTCAGAGAGATTTATCTGTTTTAGAATGGAATGAAGTATTTTTTTCTTGTGATGTAGATGAGGCCTATAATTCATTTTTAAACATATTTAAAACTGTGTATGATCATAACTTTGTTGTTCGTAAAGTGAAGAAAAGAAAACTGCCACGAAAACCTTGGATAACCCCTTCACTGTTAAAAAAGATTAATAAAAAGTATAGATTATATAAAACATTTTGTAAGAAAAGAAACGACAGCAATGAATGTAAATATAAAAAATTTAGAAATAAATTAAACTCAATCCTACAGTCTGTAAGAAAAAAATATTTTTGTGATTTATTACAGAAGAATAGGAATAATATGTCTAAAACTTGGGAATTTATTAATGATTTATTAGGAAAGAGAAGAAAATGCCAATTTCCTAATTATTTTCTTAAAGATAAGGACAAGTTAACTGATTGTCAATTGATTGTAAATGAATTTAATTCTTATTTTTCTAGTATTGCTACAAAACTAAAATCTCAACATATTCAGAAACCGAAATGCAATTTTAGTTCATTTTTACGAGATCCTTGTAGCAAATCAATATTTTTTCATCCTACCAATGTAACAGAAGTTTTGAATATTGTCAAATTGCTCAATTCAACCAAGAGCACAGATTTTGAAGGAATAAGTCAGTTCATTATAAAACATGTTATACATTTTATTGTCAAACCTATTGTTTTTATATGTAATCTTTCCTTCTTGTCAGGAAAAGTTCCCAAGAATTTTAAAGTAGGAAAAATCATACCCATATTTAAAAAAGGTGATCCCCACATATTCTCTAACTATCGACCAATAACATTACTCCCCTGTTTTTCTAAGATACTGGAGAAATTAATTTATAATAGGCTCTTTAATCATATTAATACAAATAATCTTCTGACTGTTTCTCAATATGGTTTTAGAAAAAACTCATCATGTGGACATGCTCTAATTGACCTTCATGATTACATACTCAATAAATTAGATAATAAATTGCATACATTAGGCTTGTTTCTTGATTTGTCGAAAGCTTTCGATGTTATTAACCATGATATTCTCCTCACTAAATTAAAACATTTTGGTATACGCGGTATTGCTTGGGAATGGTTCAGGGACTATTTAAGTGATCGTATTCAATTCACATCATACAACAGCTTTATTTCTGACAGAGAGAGGATCCAGTATGGAGTCCCACAGGGCTCCATGCTGGGTCCTCTCCTATTTTTAATTTACATAAATGACCTTAGTTCTGCTTCATCTTTTTTTCATTTTGTCTTATTTGCTGACGACACAAACCTGATTGCATCTCATAATGATTTTGATAAATTAATGTCAGAAGTAAATAAAGAATTAGAAAAGGTTGTTGAATGGTTTAATGCTAATGAATTGATTATAAATTATGACAAAACAAGTGTACTTTATTTTCATAATAAAACTAATCCTTGCAATATTAATGATGTACAAATATTTATAAACAATATAAATTTAAACGTGTCCTCTTCTGTTAAATTTCTTGGTATCCTTTTGGATGATACTTTATCTTTTCAGGATCATCGATTGTATATAACTAACAAAATATCTAAAAACATTGGTGTTCTTTGTAAATTACGTGTATTTCTGCCTGAAAAAGTATTGTTTATGTTGTATAATTGTTTAATTTTGCCTTACTTACATTACTGTAATATCACCTGGGCCGGTGTGGGAACAACTAAACTAGAACCTCTCCATAAACTTCAAAAGAAAGCTTTAAGAATTTGTACAAACTCCCATTATCAAGCTCATTCACGTCCCCTGTTTTTTCGCTTAAGAACACTCAATATTTATGATATACATAAAATTCAAAGTGCTATTATGATGTATAATGTTTATAATAATTATGTACCTAAAAGAGTTTGTCAAATGTTTATCCTTAATAAATCTGTTCATTCGTATAATACTCGTTCCTGTATCAAATATCATTATCCAAAGGTCTCTACCCAGTTAATGCTTTACTCTTTTAGACATAATGGTCCCCGGATTTGGAATGATTTAACTGATAAGCTAACATTATGCACAACTTTATCATCCTTTAAAGTTCTATTGAAGAGACAGTTGGTCTCTTCTTATTTCCCTTAACTCTTTCTTTTTCTTGCAATGTACCATGCACGTGTGTGCGTGTGTGTGTGTGTGTGTGTGTATCTATAATGTGTAGTATATTATTTATATATTGTTATTATTGTCGTAACGTATACAACCATGTAATCTCGTTATTTATTATTTATGTCAGGGGACTATTTTACTTACAAGTTTTTCAAACTTCCTTTTTAGTCTCCAATTTCTTAATTCCAATATTATAAGATTATGATTGTTTCATGTTACTTTTGTATATATATTATGTTATGGTTTTATGATTGAAATAAATGAACTGAACTGAACAAAGAATCCCTGCCGATTACGCCAGTATAAGGGGGTTCACTATGTACAGACAGGAAGGATTAGATCTCAGACAGGAATTGGGTTAAAACACCTTTAATAAGGCGACAACGGCCTTAGAAACAACAATCGGAATCTTACAGACAATCGTCCATTTTTCCTCTCTCGATCCCTCCCCCGATCATATCGGTATCGGTATCGGTTATCACGATATCAATCCCTATAGTATGGTACCCTGACCTCAGTAAATTAATCAATAAATCATGTTGGTCATCCTTTATTTTCTGACGTATCCCTAGTCCTTATCGTTGCATCCACCCCAAGTCTAATAATTATTATACACATAGCTCGTGCTTGCTTGCTAAAGCCGTCGAGTCTGGCACAGCTACCACGCCGAGAGCCTGAAACAATTGAAATTCATGTGCATCATACCTAATTTTTAGTTAAGTCTAAATCTCTTAAGACTTAAGAGCAATAAAATCAGAAATTAAAGTCTTACTGATACTATGCAAAATTTACTTTATTCATTTGTTTTGTCATGTTTTACTCCCAAGTATGGTTGATGTTGAATACATTTGAAGGTAGCTAGTCTAGCGACGTGCGTTGCGCGGGCAGCTAGCGTCATAGCTAGTACATGATGTACATGTACAGTATAATTATGTACAATGTATGTCACTATCAGATCTAACGCACGCTGCATGTTTAGCTAGCGACAGCTGATGTATACATTTTGAGCTCGATAAATGCCTTAAAAATCTTGCAAAGTATTACTTTAATTTCTGATTTTATTGCTCGTAATTACATATGCAGGTTAAATCGACGTGATAAATTATAATTGTAAGATCCCTTGTTGACCATACATTGTGAGACAAACGAATATCACTAGCGATATTATTTTCGATATCAGTTCTTGGTCACCTCGTGTATTCTCTTGTCTGTGTGATAAGATATGAAGTGCATTAATGCCAGTAGTACGCTAAAAACACATTTGCGGTTTAACTTTAAGCTGCTGCATTATACTGTGACATATATGAACCACCCGTCATGTACACTACCCTTTCTGCATCAATTTTCTTCCAGTAGGAATACTTGAGTTACCATGGCAACTGAAGAACAGGCCACTTCTCAGCCCCTCTTCAAGAACATTTCTGGTGACCTGGATGACCTCGAGGCCACGGAGATCGAGAGCTTGTGTGTGAACTGCGAGGAAAATGTAAGTTGATGTGAACGCATTTACCTGTACAGATCAAGGAGAAGATTGAGTTCTGGGCCCTATTTCATAAAGCTTGTTGTCAATAACAAGTTACAATAACTGTCATAAGCTACTGAAACAGTAGCATTCAAGTTCATTTTATTAAAAACCACACAAAACATGATATAATCTTTTACATAAAAAAGAGACTGGTAATAGTACATTAATTAACATATATTAACTTGATTACATCATAAAATGAATGGTTTAGGATTAAAGCTTGTGAGTGGGGCCCTATAGTCGACAAAATACATACATTAACACTATGGCAAGGTGAATAAAAAGAATGGAACGTATATACAAGCAAGGGATGGAAATACTAAGCTACATAATAAAGAACACACAAATACTCAAACACACACGTGGGCACGCATTTGATTAGCTGAGAGCAGATTTGTCATAGAAATTCAGTATTTGTTATTGATAACACGTTTTATGAAACGGGGCCCTGGATTCCTGGTAAAGACAACAATAAATTGTGAGCTTTTTCATTCCTTTTATTAATGTGAGAGGATATCATGGAAGTAATTTCTCCTGAAAAGAATGGCTCTTCTGACCTCTTCATCCTTGAATTGTGATTAGAAATCGCTGAAGAATTTGGATCATAAGATCACGCCACGTGTGTGTTGTCCCGTGTGTACATTTCTGTGTGAAGTACATGTGACTTTAGGTAAGACCAAATCACTTTTTTTATCATCTTGATGATTTAGAAATCTCACAGCTTACACTGAGTCTTAGGTTGCTATATAATCAATCTTTTATAGATAAAGTAATATTGCATTTAGATAGTGATCCTTGAGAAAGCTTCTCCCTCCCCTCTTTCTCTCTCCTTTCTTTCTCTCTCCCTTCTTTCATCTTATCTCTTTCTCTCCCACTCTCACAGGGGACAACAAAGCTTCTCCTGACCAGGATTCCGTTCTTCAAGTCTGTCGTCATCAGTTCCTTTGACTGCCCCCACTGTCACTATACCAACAACGAGATCCAGCCGGCCAGTGCCTTGCAACCACAAGGATGTATCCACGAGGTCGAGATCAGGACGGAAAAGGTAACAAACTTTAAAATTTCAATCACTACCATGAAGGGATGCCAGTGTTAGGCAATAGCCTGAATTCAGGCCCTGGCAAGTTATTTTCAGACCATAGTTTAGGCTTTTTTGTGTACAAAATAGCTCATTCTAGGTGATTTTCAGGCCCTCTGATCAATTATAACTAGCATCCCTGTACCATGGAGGCCTTGATTTTGATTGGCTGTTGAGCCCTGTTACCATGGTAGTTGCCATTGATGGCAAAGTTACCATCAATGGTAAGTTTCATGCAACGGGCCTTGGCCTTACTGTGAGTGGGCACTGATGCATAGCCAGCTGACTGTTACATGTATCTATTAGGTCGAGATCAAGACAGAAGAGTGGCCCTGTTCAGACTATAAGAATTTATATGAAATTCGTATAAAGAAAAACAATAAGAATATTTGTAGTGTGAAAGGGGGGGGGGGCGGTACAGACTTGAAAACTGCATTGTATTTTGACAAAACAAGGTAAAGTAAATGAAAGTGATCAGTGGACGCTCAAGATAGCCCCGTTCAGTCATATGATCCCCGTATGATGCGACGTTCAGAATAGAATGGGACCCTGATTCTTTATCACTTTTTCTTTTGAATTGATGCACAAACATGTGTTACGCTAAACAATGTTTCAGTTCAGGATGGGGTAGGACTTTGCATGACCAAGCACTGATGATTTGCCAGCTGTCATGTCAGCTGACCTCTTCAAATCTAGTTTCTTCTAATGTATGTACTGCTTCTTTATACAATGATCATTTATCCAATACTCAAGCATGTGTCCATGCCCCTAACTCTATGGTGATCCAGAGCTGCCAACTATTCCGTTTTTGCTGGAATTACTCCGTTTTTTCCTCCAAATTACTGTACTACGTTTTTTCTTCATAAAATACGTTTTTTAATAAATGTTTTTATTTTTTTTATTTAAAATTTTTTTTTTTTTACATACCGCACGTCAAACAACTTCCCTAAAATGGTGATTTGATCACAAATTCAATAGAAAACTAATTTCAAAACCTACTTGAAGAGAAAAAAAATTAAATGCCGATAATACTAAAATAACCACCAAAAAAATTACCTGCTCGTATGGAAAAAACAGCATGATGAATGAACTGCATTGGAAGTTTCGTGCGTGGTTGTAAGTTTCGTTTTTATGAATTCCTTTTTTTTGCTTGAAATTCCTTTTTTTTGCCATCATGATTCCTTTTTTTGTTCGCACAAGGTTGGCAGCTCTGGTGATCTAACATTTGCTCAGCCAACCAACTGCTCTGGGTTTTATTTTGTCATAGTATTTAGGGTTAGGGTTAGGCTGCAGTTGAGTTTCGGCTTAGAGTCATGGTTAGGATTAGGGTTAGGGTTAGGCTTATGTGTAGTTTTTGGGCCAGGGTTAAAGTTACGAATTTGGTTAATATGAAATTACAGCAGAACAAATTGTTGGAGGAGCATATGTTGTACAACTTTTTATATATGAGGGTTCTTTATATAACATTTCTTTAAATTTGTATCATATAAATATCCTGTAGTATGACGAGGCAATTGTTTTTCCTTTGCTTTTGTCTATCAACAGGATATGGACAGGCAAGTTATTAGGACGAACTCTGCATCTGTGCGTATTCCAGAACTGGATTTTGAAATCCCTGCTTTCACTCAAAAAGGATGTGAGTATAAACTGAAGATCTTACTCTTTATATTTGTCTCTATCTCTCTTGCTCCCTGTCTCCCTCTCTCTCTCACACCTATCTCTCTCTCTCTCCCTCCCTCCCCTCCCCCTCTCTCTCTCTCCCTTCCTTCTTCGCTCCTTCTCTCATCAAAATACTGTTTAAATCAAATTATAGTACTGTGATATTATAGGACTGGGCAAACATAAATTGACTGAATGTAACCAGGACTTTGCAGATGATTTAAACTTATTTTATACACGATTTGATTGCAATGATTTTCATGATCAAAATGAATGCTTGAGTAAATCCTTGTTAAGTAAAATCACAAGTAATGTTGGCATTGTAATATCAGAGCTAGATGTGAGGAACATCTTAAGAAGATTAAAAGTAAACAAAGCCACTGGACCTGATGACATCTCAAATCGAATTCTTAAAACTTGTTATCAACAATTAGCTCCTATTTTTACGAGATTATATCAGTTAACTTTGGATCTAGGTGTAATACCACAAATATGGAAAACATCTTCGATTATACCAGTTCCAAAAGGGAATAGGAAAGGCAGAAGCACAGATCTGAATGCCTTTTGCCCTGTAGCACTCACATCTAATGTCATGAAATGTTTGGAAAGGTTGATTTTGAAACATCTATTGAGTCAAGCTGGCTCATTTATTGACCCCTTTCAATTTGCTTATAGACAGAATAGGGGAGTTGAGGACGCTGTTCTTGTCCTTCTTTATGGAATATATAGTCATTTAGATATCCCCAAATCATATGTAAGATGTACCTTCATTGACCTCTCTAGTGCTTTTAATACCATAACTCCTCACCTTTTAATAAATAAACTGATAGAAATGGAGGTTGATGTTAAAATAGTGCTCTGGGTTCATAACTTTCTAACAAATAGACAACAATCAGTAAGACTTGGAAATATTAAATCCCCTACTTTGTTAACCAATACAGGAGCTCCACAAGGGTGTGTCCTTTCTCCCGTTATTTTCACTGTATACCAGTGATTGCGCTAGTACCAGTCAATGTTGTGCATTTATAAAGTATGCTGATGACACTGCCATCACAGGTTTCATTAAGGGAGGAAATAGTGAGAATGAGTATTTTTGTCAAGTTACCGGTAATCAGTTTGTTGAATGGTGCGATCGACACAACCTATATTTGAATGTTAAAAAAAACCAAAGAGATTATTATAGACTTTTGACGTGACCTTAAATTATATCCTTTTGTATATTCATGAACAGGCAATCGAACACGTACATGAATATAAGTATCTTGGTAAGTATCTTGTACCTTGATTGATGATAAGCTACGATTTAATAAGAACACCAACGCTGTACACAGTAGAGCTACATGTAATCAACAGATGTTTTTTCTAAGGAAGCTCAAAAAATTTAACGTTGACAGGACGATCTTGCATCTTTTCTATCAGTCTATCATTCAAAGTGTTCTTCTATTCAATCTCATTTGTTTTTATGGAAATCTCACACAAGCAGACAAAACTAAACTCGAACATCCGAGGAAAATTGCTCAACGTATTATCGGCATTGAATTACCACCCCTATCAGTTTTGTTTGAAGATCGCTTATTGACTAAAATAACTTATATTATGAAAGACCCATCACATCCACTATTTTCTTGTTTTACTTTTAACCGCTCAGGAATCCGCCTGCGTGTACCAATTACCCGTAGAGCCAGATACAGAAATTCTTTTATTCCAAATTCCATGCACATCTATAATGCACAAGTAACACAAAATTCTCAGCTTTAAGCGAAATAATAGCGATTATGATTATTTGTTAACTTTTTTTCTACCCACCCAGTAAATAAACTTGTAGGGATTGGGTTGGAAAGTTTTCCACCTTATCACCTTTGTGGGTCAAAACATCCGTTGTTTAGCTCTGCTGCTGATTTTGTTGTATTTTTCTGTCATGCATTATAATCTGATTGTAAATTATGCCATCTCTCCTTCTCTATCTCTCCCCTTTCCCTTTGGACCCTTACCAACTCTCCCTATATTTCTCTCTTTTATCAGTCCTTCGAGCTTGAGCTCTCTTCTCCTTTCTCTTTCTGCTCGTATTTCGATTGTGATGCTGCTCCTATTCTACTTTCATATTCACATCTATATTAATACCTGAATTTATTCATGATGTGATTCAGAATTGTATTTAAAATTCTTGCTATGTATAAGTCATATAACTGTCTTTTCATGTTTTGTGCTGAAAGCCGGAGGACCGTACCTGCTCATAGACTTTTTCTTATAGAGTCTTGACGCCCTTCTGGCTTTCAGCACACGACACCATGTTTTTGTCTTATGTTTTATGTATTACATGCTATACCAATGGAAAACAAATTTCTGTATTATATTATGGACAATAAAATCTTGAATCTTGACATTTATTATAAGAAATTTAATTTCAAAAGTAAGAACAATCATCTTTGTCAAACCCATCATTCTTATCATGGTTATTATTAAATATCATCATAAACTTTGTCTCTCTTTTCTTGTCTCTATCAGGAGGAAGAAGATATAGAAGAAGAAGAAAGTTTTCTTGATCTGGAAGGGCTTAGGAATCTTCAAACGAACAAGGTTTGTACCTGCTTTATTCAAGGTTTTAAGGCTCAAGCGAATTCTTGATGGTGCTTTTAAAGCCAGTGGGTCGTCAGTTTCAATGTGCAGAAGGTCATAATTTGCGGACACCAGATTTGGTGGAAATACAGTCAAACCTGTCTTAACGACCACCTGTCTATATAACGACCACCTATCCATAACGACCACTTAAAATCCCCCGTAAGATTTGGTGTTGCGAAGATACAGTTACAATGAGTTATCAATTTTGCATTACAATATAATAATATATGTATATGCTGTGTATAGATATGATACAATACATATTGATTGATATTTCACAGGTAATATAGTCACATGGATAAAACAAAAATTAAAAAACAAGTGGGATTATGTTCTGATGAAAAATGCCAAAATGAGTACACTGTCTCTTTTCTGGGTCATTAACTTATTTCTGTAAGTGATGTTTAACTTATAATTTGCAGTAAAGATTCTGTCCACTTACAAAATACATGGAGTTTGCATTGTGAAATTCTGGAGCATTCATACAGATACACATACTTGTTTTCATACCGGTTTACTAACATATTCAATTTATGGATATTTCTTTCCTGGGGACCTAGTGATGAGTTATTCCAGTAACCTGTTATTAATGAATGAATGAACTACATACAATACTTGGAATCCAGTCTGCACACATTACGTGTTGCTATATCTTGCAAGCCTCTGGCAAGATTTTCAGGTTGTCAGGAACAAGTTTTGTTTATAAAAAGTATGCATAAAATTTGAATATGTTACTAAACCGGTATATTGAAGTGGCATGAATATAATGCATGAGACATTATTGATCCTTGACATTTGTTTGACCATTTTTTTACCTTTGACCCGTTGACAGGAAACAGCAGAGAGCTCTAGACCGGAGGAGATCATGGAGTCATCAGTTGATGCTAACGAGTGGAGGTTAGAGGTCGAGAGGGTGACCCCATCCCTAAAGGTACTATTGTCTTTGAAATGAATGGGCTGTCCCATATTGCCTCCATTACTGACCGTATTACAACATAGAGTACTTAAAAAACAGAGAGTTTCCTTCCATGAACTTTCCAGAACTTTGCCACTCTCCCCCAGGTGACGGAAATGGGTTCCCGTTAGGAAGTAATTCCTTGAATGATTTAGTGGCCTATTATGGCAGCTGAGATAAAGCTGGGGAAAATCTTCTCCCCCTCTCTCTCATTCTTCCTAAACTTATTTTCCTTGCCTACCTCTCCAACCTCTCCTCCTCCTTTACTCCATCTGCTTGCCTTTTCTCCCCTCTTCTCTCTTTACCCCCCCCCCCTACTTTCTCCTTTTCTTCCACTCTGTCTATTCCAAGTGGAATGACTTATTTACACTCGTTTACACTTTATCTCCCACCTATAATGTACCCTCTACTTTCTCCTCTCTTTCACATTTTCTTACATCGTTTCCTACTCCGAGCCTTTACCCACATGTTCAGAAAATCATAATCCCCTTAATTAATTTTTGTTGCCAACCTATGTATGATTAATAATTGTTACTATACATGATTGATATATGAATGAATGTATATTGATCAATGATTAATTATACATGATTAATATATAATTGTTATTATGCATGATTGATATATCGTCCTTGTTTTCACGAAGTGACGGTAGTGAGGAAAATCGTAACGCAAAGTGAATGCAATTTGTTTTCACTACCGTCACTTCGTGAAAACAGCGACGATATATTTGTAACTGTAATGCATTATTGTTTGTATATGTTTTATATGTAGTGCGACCTGCCATGGTTTCGGAAAGGGAACATGGACCTGGTCTTGAATGTACACATGTATTCCTTTTATATGAAATAAGGGCATGATTTAACAACATTATTATTATGATTATTATTATTATCAAAAATGTATTATTATTATTATCATTGTTATTATTTCCTTGAAAGGTCCACATTAGAACAGATAACAAGGACTGGAGAACACACGTGGATCAGATGCATCTACACAAAGATGGGATTGAGACGGCTCTCTCAGAGACTAAGGTAAGAGTACTTCAAAGCAAGATTGTAGGAGTTTGTCAGCCTTAAGTTGAATAAAAAGAACAATCACAATGCCAACAACATATACATTTAAAAGAGAAAAAAACAAGTATAAATCACAAACGAATACAAATATGGTTGCATTTGCAAAGGCCACAGGCCTGTCAATGGCTATCACCATTACACAAAATATGATATTTGTATATATATATATATATATATATCTACCCAGTATATTAAAAAAAAAGGCATTTAAGATATTATTAAGAAGCACAAGAACTAGTTGTCAACTAGGATTCATACCGTAAATGGCAATATAAATCAGTTGAAAATTAAGTATTTATAAAGAATATTAAAAAAAAACAATATTAACTTTTTTTTAAAAACAAAACAAAACAAATCTTTTAAAGCCCGCCTGCACTACTTTAGGCAGGAGGGATTGGGCCACCCAGCGTAGTCACTGACAGGTGGTTATCTTATCAAATCAGCTCTCAATTAACATAAGAAAAAGGGGATCATGGAGGACCAGCGGTCACCAATTAGGCATTGTTTGCTATATAGAGGGCGCAAGTAGCTATAAGTTGTGCAGTGGGGCTTTAAACATGGCAAGCGAGGGACAGATTTTACTTCATTGCTTAGGGAATACCTTCATATCACCTCCATATTTATAATTTATCAGGGTTACCTTGACAAACTGCAAAAGGAGATCACAAGGACGTTGGAGAAGATAGGGAGCAGAGAGAAATACATCAACAACCAGCTTGAGCATCTATTACAGGACTTCAGAGGAACACAAGATGGTTTAGCCGAGGTAAGTCTGTATTATAGGTGTTGTAGTCTAGTGGATTATATCTGGACACCTACCCCCTGGGCATCCACCCCCGGATAACCACCCCAGTCAACTACCCCTTAAGACAATTACTACCCCCTAAGACAACTACCCCCTAGGGCAACCACCCTCTAGGACGACTACCCCCTGGACAACTACCCCCCAGACAACTAACTACTAGGAAAACTACCCCCCAGACAACTTACCCCCTACAATTCATTTTACCTTTATTTTGTAACTATTCTATAGATGAAGGAATGGTACAGACAGGCTAGTGGATGAGTGACAGAAAGAATAGGCTAGTTATCTTTATATTGCATTTATATAACCTTCATAACCCATTCATCTTACTATAATGTAACCTTCATTTGCTGTTATATATCACCTTCGCATCAACGCCATATTACCTCATATTACCATCTTACATTTGTTAATGTTGTATAGATGAAGGAACAGTACAGGCAGGCTAGTGGATGAGTGACAGAAAGAACCAACTAGCTATCTTCATATTACGTTCATATAACATTCACATTACTTTCATCTTACTATAATGTTACCTTCATGTTACTGTTGTTAATCACCTTCACATCAACGTCATATTACCTCATATTACCACCCGTTACTTTTGTTACTGTTGTACAGGTGAAGGAACAGTACAGGCAGGCTAGCGGCGGGGTGACAGAACGAACGAGACAACTTGCTGAAGTGACAGAAGAATTGGAACGGATAAAACAAGAGATGGAAGAGAGAGGGTCAAGCATGACTGACGGATGTAAGTTGAACTTCCTTTTTGTAAACTTCTGTTACATGTTTGAGGAGCTGAGTACAGTTCATTTGGTTGAGTGTCTGTGTGTTTAACAATAGATTGAATATGAATCAAGCTCAGGCAGATGGTTGGGGTGTGCATTATGTGTTAACATGCCCCTCCCCTGGCCCTTGGACACACTGAGGTACACTCGAAAAAACTCTGTCCCTCAGATAGGATGTAAATTGGAGGCCCATGTGGAGGAGAGCTGCCACCTTTCTATGTTTAAGGGAGTCACTCGTCAGTATCCATGTGCAGAAGGCCATAATTCCCTGACACCAGACTTGGTGGAAATACCATTAATGGGAGTACAAATCTGCACACAGTGAACCCGTAGGCCAGTCAAGAATAACCCCCTAATCTCTCGGAGAGCTCGAGAGTCTTCGGGTGAGGGAAAAGCAAAGCATTACCTAAGGTCTAATGGTCATAAAACTGAAGGCTAACTCTGGTGATTGACAACACCTGTTATTGGTTAAACACCCGAACGGTGTCGAATTCCCCATGAGAGCTGACTTCTATGTGTCTTTAAGAACACACTGGCTTAGAGGTACACCTGCACATTCTAAAACAGCAATGTGTTGATTTGTTTATGTTTATTGTTCAACAACAAAAATTAGTTAATTTCATTATTTATATGGAAGTGTCTTAGTCGAGCGGTTTAAGCACTTAACTTGAAATGATACCTGACTCAACATTAACGTCCTTTGGCAAGGTGTTAATCTACATTTGCTACTCCATACCCAGGAGAGAAATGGGGACCTGATAGGATGACGAAAGCCTTTGTGTTAGTATTTGCCATATGCATTCACAGTGACCATATGGTAGGAATACTCCCCGGGGAGTGGAGTTGGTGCACATTTTGTGTGATGAGGAATCCGATGATCGGGGTAATAATATCTGTAAACCGCACAGAGACGTTATTTCGTATAAAAGGGATCCGGTAACTTTGTCCCCGATTCTGAAACACAATACTGGATTTAGCTCAAGCTGCAATGATAATTATAAACCTTAAGGTCAGTCAGGAATCCCATGACTTGTACAAGCCGATCCCGTGTCTAATTATCAAGATATTTATGATTTGAAATCGAAACAAAATTTTGCGTCTTCCTAACGGTTTTTCCTAACACTACAGTCTATTGAGGAAAACGAGTATGGTAAAACCAGTCTCTCAAAGATTTTTTACTTTTTTGAGGCTATTCTTGATCTTTTTGAAGCGCGATCTTTTTTGGCTTCAATATTACACTGTATCACAGACACTGATAACACATAGGGCCATGCATCTTAATTTTAACATTATTAAGCGATGCCTTTAAGTGTTATGTAAACCCAGATTATTATTATTTTAATTTATTATTTATTTATTTATCTTGCAGCTCCGTTGGTGAAGATCAAGCAAGCTCTCCAGCGTCTGAAGAACGAGGTCATCCAGATGGATGTCAGGGTAGGGGTCGTGGAGCAAAACCTTCTTCAAGCAAAGCTCAAAGACAAGACTAACATGCAAAGGGATATGAATAAACCCATTGGAAATGCAAATGATTATGATTATTTAAAGGGATAAACACGATCGCATCTATTTTCAAGAAGCCAGATTGATGTCAGGGTAGGGGTCGTGGAGCAAAACCTTCTTCAAGCAAAGCTCAAAGACAAGACTAACATGCAGAGGGATATGAATAAACCAATTGGAAATGGAAATGAATATGATTATTAAAACGGATAAACACGATCGCATCTATTTTCGAGAAACCAACACAAGGGGAATTTCAATACCCCATTGTACATCCGGCCATAGACATCATGTTCTGATTACCGGTATGTAGTATGTCGTTGTAATGATCACACATTTCAATAGGAGACTCACAGCTATTGAAATTGCTTTAAGTTGATCCTCCAAAGTAAATGCGATCAAGATTATAAAAGTTTGGGTTGTAAATAACACAGACTATAGGCTAAACATTTAAGCAAGGTTGGAAGAGAAGTATGCAGATTACTCTAGGAGCTTAAAATAGGGGTTGTGGAGCAAAACTTCCAAGGAAAGCTGAAAGATAAGATTGTCATGCAAAGAGATGTGAATAAACATATTGGTATTAAATGCTAATGAATATGATTGTAAAAAAAAAGAAAAAATTAAATGGGATATGATTGGTACAGGCTAGAGGCAGCGCAAAGATGTATAATGCAAAACTTTGTCAGTTTGTTTGTTAACCTGACTGCTAAGAAAGCTAAGGAGCGTTTATGCTTGTATGTAAACAACCAGGGACAGACGGATTAAGGACTATCCGAGGGGCTTGCTATGGTACTGAGAATTAGTGCCTTATCAAAGGGCACACGCGCATCGACTTGCTTTTGATCCCCGGACCTTCCAGGTACGAGACCACTGCTCTACCCCTGAGCTTCCTCAAATATCAGGGATGCCAGTTTTCATGTAATAGCCTAAATTTAGGCCCTGGCGAGTTATTTTCATAACATAGTTTAGGCTTTTTTTTGTGTACAAACTAGCTCATTCTAGGTGATTTTCAGGCCCTCTGATCAATTTTAACTGGCATCCCTGAAATATGAATGTTTGTTTCAAATCTGGGTATGAATCACACATGCTAGTGAATATGATCATTAATTGTGTGACAGATTGTTAAAGGCCATGATGTAAGGCTCAAACCATACCTTAAAGATTAGTCCTTCACCCTCCTGCCTCCTGGCAGTATCCTTCCCAGGGAGCAGTGAGTTCAGCCAAACTGCAAATGATCAGGCACAGGCCGCTTTGCAGCAAGAATGAAGCTCTGGGGTCTCAAAGACTCTGACCGTGTCCATGTAGTCAAATGCAGACTGTATGAGTATGTTCTGAATGAGTATGCTATAGCAGGACCCCCATGTCCCATCACTGATATTTACAACCCACATCTGGTGTTATATTGAAACGATTGTCAGTTTTAAATACCTATGGTTGATATAAAGATAATAACTGACCAATCACAAAGCAGCATGGAGTACACTGACCTTTAGATTTCCACTGAATTCAATCTGCTTTGCTGCAATGAAAACTTTATGGATGGTAAATCAAATTTTTCATAAAAACATGACCTCATTTCACAAAACCATCTTAATTACAAGTTCAGCAACATCCCATCCAAATATGCTTGAACAAGCGTTTATTTAAATGAGATGCTGACGAACTTGTATTTCAGATTGTTTTGTGAAACGATGCCTAGATTCCTAAAAAAGTAATGAATTTATAATAATTATTTTCATACAACAGAATTCTTGACAGAGCAATAGAGAAATAGATTTAAGTATATTCTGGTAATGTAGTAGGAAACTTTGTTATCCATCAAATATTGGATATTGGAAATCATTGTGAATATCTGTGATTAACATTATGTAAATTAATAAAGTTCTGTATATGTATGTAAATAGCTCTTTTTGTGAAAATACATAGATGAGCAGGATGTATAAAGTAGTTCTTTGTAAAACTGTTGTAAAGTGTGAATAAAAAGCCTATTTGAAAAAAAAGGAACAAGCCCTAATCTTTTGTGTGGTAATTTTCTACTTGAAGCCATTACACTCAGCTCATCCAGTAGTGTCTTTTGACATGCAGATTACACCAAGATGGAGGGTTTCTACAGTCATGGAGAAACGTGGAAAGTCATGAAAAAAATATTGAAAGTCGTTGAAAATGAAACAAATATCCCAAAGTCATGGAATGTCATGGAAATTGATCGTGGGTGTGGGGTGTATGTGGCTATGGCAGCCTTCCGGTAAGAACTAATAAATTTGAGTGTCGCTTGTATGCCGCAATGAACCCACACCAAAATGGTACTTATCTGGGCATCAAAAAAGGCGAAGTGGATCATGAAAAGTTGTGGAATTTGGTTCTCAAATTTCATTAAAAAACTACCCTCTCTTTGCTATGCCATATCTTCCACTTCACTATACCACTGCATGTACCTCTCCCCCAAACCTCTGTCATACATTCTAAATCTCTCCTTTCTCTCGTTTGCTTGCTCTATTTCATACTTCTCTTCCCCTAACAACCCCCCCCCCCCCTCTCTCTCATACACTCCAAGATTTTGATCTCCTTTCTCTCCTTCCTCCCTCTTACTGGTACATATTGGCCATCTACCTCTACATCCCTAATTATGATCTATATCTATCCTTTATATTCTCTTGCTCACTGTATACCTCTCCCTCCCTCTCCCCCCCCCCCACTCCCATGCACCCTCATCTCTCTCTCTCCCTCCATTTCTTCTCCATTTCCTCCCTCCATCGCCACTCACATGCACCCTCATCTCTCCCCCTTCCCTCCCTGCCTCCCTTCCCTGCCTCCCTCTCTGATTAAAACCTTACAAATAATTCATAAATTCAGACTTTGAATAAGAAATACAACAAATAATTTAATCTTTGACATATACTCTGTACACATAAACATGGTTAGCACAAAAATGTTTGTTATGAACATATTTCAGATGTAATAACATTTCAATTTCAGTTAATTTGGAATCCTTTGCATATCATAAATACAAGGCTGTACACTTACAAACCATAAGGTCATATGATTTGGACTACAGTGATCAGATTTTCTTCATGATATTGATTTATACACTGATGAGAAGTATGTCGTACGGTTAACACACACTGGTATGCCATTTTGTATAGAAAAATGGTGATTTTGACATTTTCAACATGTCACATAGTTCAGGATTTCAATGCATATTTCACTCCTATACAAGTAGCTCTTGGCATCAAGGCTATTATCAAATCACATGACCACTTTGTTCATACATGCAGGCCTTCAGCATAAGGCACACATAACTTGGTACACATCTACTCAGAGGCCTGATAGTTAAAATGGAAGAACGAAAATACAACAATGCTATTAAGTACTGGAATAATCCTTGAATTGTGATATGTACATACATGGAGTTGGTCCAGATATACATTATTACAACTTCACTAATTCCTACCAAATTTTCACTTCAGGAAGATAGACAAATTGTCTCTGTTTATAGTATATACAAAGCATAAGGCACACAAACTTGGTACATGTATACTGATAGTTCAATGAAGAAGAAAACAAAAACATTGTCAAGTACTGGAATAATTAATTCCTGAATTGTAGAGTTGGGCCAGATATACATTATCACAGTTTCAGTCATTCCTGCCAAATTTTCACTTCAGGAAGATAGAAAAATTCTATCTCTGTTTATAGTATATACAAAGCAAACGGCACACAAAACTTGGTACTCATCTAAAGTAGTTAAAAAATGGAAGACAAAGAAAAAACAAAAAAATTGTAAAGTACTGGAAAAATCCCTGAATCATAGATGTACATACCCATACAGTTGGGCCAGACATACATTATCACAGTTTCACTCATTCCTGCCAAATTTTCACTTCAGGAAGATACAACAAATATGGTCTCAGTTTATTACATATACATCACTAATCACTCTGAGATGAGTGACACCTGATGGGAATGAGTGCAGTTGAGAAAATCTGAGAAAATGAGTTTCTTCCAGGTGCATGTAAACTTTCGGGGCCCAACTTTGTATCCTCAACTCATCTGAACCTGAACAGAATGCATAAAATTAAGTACAACATGGTACTGTTAATACTGAATAAAATTATAATCACAATACAAATCAACATCATAGTCAATATTGCATTCTGGGGACTCTGCCATAAAAAGCTGAAATTAAAATTACATTTTCAACCAATCAGGATAGTGTATTTAGTAATTGTATTTATTTTTTGAGTTGTGTATGACATAGCTTTTAACTTTTAAAGTAAGAGGGCCCTCATAACGGAATCCCACTCCCAGACAAACTGGCTCAAAGCAACTCTGGCCCTGTTTCATAAAACTTGCTATCAATATCAAGTGTCACATTTCTATGACAAATTGGCTCTCAGCCAATCAAATGCAACCATTTCAGGAGCTTATACAGTTATTGCAACTTGTTATTGATAACAAGTTTCATAAAACAGGGCCCAGGTTTCAAATTTCATTCTTGCAACTTACTTTTATAAGTGCAGACAAAAATAAAAGATTTCAGTAAGTCATCCTTCACAGCTATTTTTTCTGAATTGATAATGATCAGGCGTTACACCTTGCGATTAATTGGTTGACCAGCTGCTTGTCACGGTGGTAAGAAAAGAATTGTTCTTAATGCAGTCCAGTCGAACAAACATTTACGTTTTTGACAATATTATGTCAGCTATAACATTTTATCATGAGATGGAAAAATGTACCGGTATTGGTAAAACAAATCTAAGAGAAAAGAAATTCATGAAAAGGTAGTGTTATTTCATCAATTTTGTTTTTATTGTGTTTACGTTTAAACACATCGTCTGTCATATAAAACAATTTGAATGCCGTATATGATTGATTTTAGCTTCGATAAAATTTTGTAAAATAAATTTTAGTTTGACCAAGTGATGTAAATATTGAATTTTGCATGATTGTAGATGTATATGTTGTGTATTTTCTACATGAATGTATGCTATTGTCTAATAAAGGAACCCTGTGGATGAGGGGAAAAAATGCTTGTCACAAAAGTTGCCATGGAGGGTGAACGTTTGATCCTATGATCCAGGCTATACTTCATGAAACATATAGGGTTAGGGTTGCACTCTAGAGTTCAGGTAATAGTGTTTATGGTTAGGTACACGTTATGTGATATATTTAATGTGTATGAATAAAACGTTGCTATGTTGTGATATGAAGTACATTGAATTTGCTGTTTCATTACTAGTGTTAAATATAACTTTATCTTTACAGTAATATGTAAGGCCTGAGGTTGAAGTTGGAATTTTGGTTAGTGTAGGAAACCGACGTGGAACAACTGTCACAGTAGCAAGTGTCATAGAACCGTCTTGGAGATAGTTCTATGAGATCGAGAAGCACATAATCCAGCTGTGCGATCTGGATGGTTGTACACTGCCATTGTGTGGCTCTTGAAGTTATTCTGATGGCTGTGATGTGCATCATAAGTCATCCTCATCATCTAAGGCGATTTAACAGTTTTTTCACGTCTGAGAAGTCATCCGCCTCGTTTGAGACGTAATTCCTCCTGAATTGATGTTGAGGAAAGAAGATAAAATATAGGTTTGGGGGATAGGATCCGGGCCCTGTAACATATGAATTGACTAACAATCCGATCAATTGTAAAAATCTGTTGTATCTCCAGTTTTGCTGCAATTAATTGTTTCTTATATATTAAGCATTGTATTTACCTGTAACATAAAAGTAGTGGTAAGTTGCTATTATTTATTATGTTCCAATTTATTGAAGAAGATACATGTACAAAAAAGATTTGGGATAATATCAATAGTAACTTTCAATGTTACAGGGCCTAGGCACCAGAGGCCTGAGGTGGTATTCTGAAATTGTTATGCTAGTGAAAAACTGTTTCCTGTTAGATAAAGATAAATAAAGATAAATAAGAAAAATCGTTGAGGCCCCGTTTCAAATGCACTCTAGTATAGTTTGGTGACCAAGTCACTTCCGGTCTTTTTTGCATAGCTGTGCTGTGCACGCCAGGTGTGATTGTGTGTGTGTGTACTTTATTTTCTGACAGTACTCACAGTGATTTATCACGATTCTCAAAGATTTCAAGACTGGATCATTACGTAAAAACGTTGAAAATATTTTACACATACCGGTACTAAAATTAACATATTTGGTGGTGTGATTGGAAAGAGCAAGTACAAGCGTAGAAATAATAATGTCACCTTTCTATGGTTATGTTCATTGGCAAGAGTGAAACCCTGTCTGAAATATTAGAGGATGTCACTACATTAAAGGGTTCGTTGGCTTTTTAGATGACCAATGGACATACTCCATTCTGGTGGGATATTCTAAAGTTAAGCCTGTCATTTTCTTGAAGTTTCAAGAAGGTCCTTCCATTGTCTAGACATCGATAAGATTTGGAGGATCTTTCTCTTGTTTTTCATTGCTGCCGTCACCAAAAATAAAGAACCTAGATGTAGCTTTCAGAGACGTACCAATGTACATTGGCTCAAAATTACTTCAGAGAGGCTACATCTGTGCATTTTGGGCATATTGGCGATAGCGAGAATTTCTATGTAAAGCTGGCTATATGTATTTGTACAGTTTAGAGATAAATCTGCACCAACACCTACAAGTAGTCCCATTCCATGCAATCTAAATTTATGATAACATAATTTTCACTATTTGAATATAGCAGACAACATACAGTATAGTTCACAGAATACAACCCAAGAAAACTAAACAAATGTTTATTATGGACACTTGTATATATTGTTCACAGCCGTCAGGCTGAATAGGATAGGTGCCTAACCGGCCTCAACAAGAGCAGATAGATCCTGTAATGAACGAATAAAACATCCATCATTTGTTTTATACGAAAAATATCCTAGATTCTTGTTATTTGATTTAAAGAGACTTTCAGGATTGTTCTGAGTAATTATCGCTGATAAATAAACCCAAGTTTAATAGGCTTAATTTAGCTCGCACACAGGGATAGGGGCACTTACCTCTACAAGCATCAATGCACAGTGATATACATGTATTAATCCACACACAGTATATAAAGCATATTAAACTCTACATGCCCTGCTGTGGAAAGATCGTTAAATAGTACTAGAAACTATAGCATGCTTTTTCATGGAAAAACATGTAATATTCTCAGTAAAGGAATCACACATGACCCTGCTTAACCAATCATTTGATTAGGATCTAGGAGTAAGTTGTATAGCAATAAAATTAATTTGTAATTCATTATGTTTAATAGTTCACTTACCGTCGAAAGTCAGTGAGTGACTGCAGGAATGAATCAAAATCCGCTTGGGGAACTCCATTGAATATGAAATTTCCATTACTGATTTGAGGAAAAGAATCCTGAAAAGAAATGTATGGGCATGCTTGGTGATAGTGATTCATGTAGTTTTCCTCCATTCAAGTCTGGCTGAAATACTATACCATACATGTACATACCAGGTCAGTACTCTCTCTGGCATATAGACTTAGTGTCCTTGTTACACTGACACCTCCTATACACCGCCCCTCCCCACCAAATACACACACATACAAAAAAGCTATGTTGATTGAACTGGTCAATATTTCAACTGAACTTTATGCTGACACCCCCTCCTCCCTTATCATTAGGTATCACAGAAGAGCTGCATTGAGTGGGGACACGCAGAGCTCAACCACGCAAATTCTCTCTTTATCAAGGAAGATTTTCATATCATGGAAAAAATAAATATTATAAAATTATATGTCTCTCGAAAGCTCAGGATTCCTCTAATTCGTACCGTGTCACTTCGTTTGTCACCATTTTTATTTGATCGCCGATTTGCATCGCTAGTTTTAGCTCAATGCGCTTGAACGCCATTTGTCTTTGAGTTTTAAAAATCCACTGGTTGGAAAGAGCACATCTTAAGCTTTATTTTCATATAAAAAATGATGGGGGTATGTTTCAAAAAGATCGTGAAAAATCAGAGTGAAAAGTTTGAAACCATTTTTCTATATCAGAAAAACATACTTTTAATTCGATTTTGATACGAGAAGAAAGAGAATTTACTGCAGAATACGATCATGTTAATATTAAGAATGACCGCGAGATGGTGCTTGAGCGCAAATCCGATGAATGCAGCTGTACCCTGACACTATGAACATGACGGACAAAGAAAGCTGACAAAATATACAGTTCCTCAGGTAGACAAAGGAACATCCCTTCACTGCTATTATGTAAAAATGTGTAGAACAGGTGAATATGCATGTGACACCTGTTCTACACATTTTTACACAATAGCAGTGAAGGGATGTTCCTTTGTCTACCTGGACTTCTTGAAGAGTTTAGAGCCATTTTCAAATGCCATTTAAAATTAATTTAAATGGATTTGATGGTCCAAACTTACAAAAATAATTAATCTATATATATACCCCAGATATGCCGAAATTCAGCCCCTCTTGATAGACACTCTTAATTTCTAGCCATGTTTCAAAACCCATGAAAACTTGTTCCGGCGACCCAAAAATAGCCATTTGTCACACGCATCAAAATGGGCTTCATATAATTATTTGAAAAATTCCACAAAAAAAAATATTTGTCAAAAGAACCTGAAAAAAAATAGGCATGTAGAAATTCATACAGAGAACAGATTCCTTGAAAAGAAAGGTGATTCATCAATTGATTACAAAATTATATCACCTTGAAAATGGCTAATTGTCAGTTATAGCCTAATTACGCAAAATTTGACCATTTCGTCTCTTATGTATTAAAGTGGCCGTATTTTCAAAAGTACTTATTCAAATTTGACAAATGAGGTATCAAAATTCTTCTTTTCATGTGCTCAAAAAGGAAATGGGCAGGGGAAGTGAAATTTAGAAACTTTCAAAAGTTAGCTGTGATACCTATTATCATGCACCTGTCCAAAACATCAAGAACAAAAAACAAAAACTGTGCTTAAAATAAGTACTGTGATCAAGATCTCCATCCTTGTTTAGTGACTATTCAATCTGACGTATACTCTCAGACCCATGATGACATTATTCAAACCTTATGAATTGATTTGAACTATTTGTATCTATTAGTCTTTAGAGTACTTCAGTGATCTGTTTATACTGAAATTGTATTATTGCATAACTAGTAACACAACACTCTCCCCCCCAAAAAAAAAAAAAAAAACTAGATGGAATTCGACTGCGCGCAGTCGAAAATGATGCCTCCGTCATAGAGCAATATTACAAACCAAAACAGAAGAAATTTTTCGAATTCAAGTTCAATTGTAATTCATTAACAGGTTATCAGAATATCGTGATTACAAGCAATTTCTCATATACATATATGACCCTTTGATCTTTGACCTCATGACCCTAAAATCTACTCAGTTCATTGGCTCTGCAAGATGTCCTGAGTTAAATAGTAATCCATCTGTCAGTTCTAATGAGAATGCGTTCACAAGCTATTTTTGCATACATAATGAGCCCATGACCTTTGACCTTTGACCTTATAAACCAAGAATCTACTCAGTTCATTGGCTCTGCAAGTAACATACATGACCTAATTTTGGCAGGAATCCATCGATCGGTTCTTGAGATAACGCGATCACGAGCTGTGTTTGCATACATAATGTGCGCTGTGGCCTTTGACCTTTGACCTTGTGACCCCAAAATCTAATCAGTTCATCGGCTCTGCAAGTAACATACATAACCAAGTTTGGCAGGAATCCATCAATCGGTTCTTCAGATAACGCGATCACGAGCTGTTTTTGCATACATAATGAGCCCTGTGACCTTTGACCTTTGACCTCGTGACTCCAAAATCTAATCAGTTCATTGGCTCTGCAAGATACATACATGACTAAAGTTTGGCAGGAATCCATCAATCGGTTCTTCAGATAACGCGATCACGAGCTGTGTTTGCATACATAATGAGCCCTGTGACCTTTGACCTTTGACCTCGTGACCCCAAAATCTAATCAGTTCATCGGCTCTGCAAGATACATACATGACCAAAGTTTGGCAGGAATCCATCAATCGGTTCTTCAGATAACGTGATCACGAGAACGGGACGTACGTACGTACAGACGTGTGTACAGACGTACGGACGGACAGACGGACGGACAACCCGAAAAAATAATGCCTCCGGCTACTTCGTAACTGAGGCATAAAAACTCCTTAAACTCATCTCCAATGCTGCATGTGTACCTGAATTCATCATGGCATGGATATAGAGTACAAACACACATACAGACCTGTAAGGTTGACGCCTTTGCATTCAGTGTAGAATAGAACTCCTCCTTGAACTCCTTTCCCATTAGTATCAGTCCAGTCAGGTTTGGCATGGAACACAAAGCATCTACTAGGTAATGTGAAGAGGCTGATGTTGGACACCTAATGTCCCATAGCTCGACAGTCTTGACCTACATGTATACAAACAGTGATTCATACAAGTACATTACCAGAGTACACGTTTTCATTAAATTACTGCAAATATAACTGGGTGCTCTTATATACATGTATGTGTATGGCTATGCTTGGGTGACAAATGCAATGGGCTTTATATAGTCAAATATAGGATTTGGATAAGGGCTACAAATAGGTTTGAGCTCAGGTTTAGTGATAGGAATACTTTTTGGTGCAGGGATCAAGTCCCCCCCAAAAAGCTTACTTAAAAACTTTAAGTTTAATAGTCTTCATTAAACCAAAATATCTTTTCTGAGGCAATCCTTTAAAAGTGATGTTTTTTGCAGAACATCATATTTTTAACTCGAGCCATCTGAATTCTGTATCTTACACTGCACATGAAAACCCCTCTTTTTATAATACTGTTCCTTTGTCTGCTAAGACTATTATACATTTTCATATAAAAAAAATTAACACGTTGAAAAATTATTGACAGCATGTTGCTAAAATATCATAACTCCTTAAATTCATCTCCACTGCTGCATGTGTACCTGAATTCATCATGGCATGGATATAGAGTACAAACACACATACATACCTGTAAGGTTGACGCCTTTGCATTCAGTACAGAATAGAACTCCTCCTTGAAATCCTTTCCACGTAGTGTCAGTCTAGTCAGGTTTGGCATGGAACACAAAGCATCTGCTAGGTAATGTGAAGAGGCTGATGTTGGACACCTAACATCAAGCCAGACAGTGTCGACCTACATGTATACAAACAGTGATTCATACAAGTACATTACCAGAGTACACGTTTTCATTGAATTACTGCAAATATAACTAGGTGCTCTGATAAACATGTATGTGTATGGCTATGCTTGGGTGACAAATGCAATGGGCTTTATATAGTCAAATATAGGATTTGGATAAGGGCTAGAAATAGGTTTGAGCTCAGGTTTAGTGATAGGAATACTTTTTGGTGCAGGGATCAAGTTAAGAATTTGGTTAGTACAGGATGGAAAGCACAGAAAAATTGTTGATGGGCATGCGTTAAAACAACAGGAGGATCGACAAACACAGCCATAGTGCATTTTCTCACTACATAGTGATACAAACAGTGATTCATTCAAGTACATTACCAGAATACATGTATTTATTGAATGACTGCAAATATAACTGGGTGCTCAAATATACATGTATGTGTATGGCTAAGCTCAGTTGACAAATGTTCTGGGCTTTATTAAGTCACAAATATATATAGGATCCGCATGAGAGCTGCAAATAGGCTTTGAGCTTAGGTTTAGTCTTACGGTTTATTATAGATTTTAGTGCTGGGTTAAGTTCAGAAATCGGTTAGTTCAGGGTAGTGGGCGCAGAAAATGCATCAAAAAAGATTTATAGGACTAACTTTTACTATTATAGCCGTAGTACATGTAACTACTGCGTATTCATCTGAGTAATTGCATCCATCCAAAATATTTATGAACAAAAACAAACACAGGACGCTGAGTAATACCCAGCTCATCTTGAACATAACTACAATATGAAGGTTACGTTAATTTGCCAAATAGATTTTCAATTTCATTAATTTACATATGCTTCTAGATCAACATGTATGTTTCTCTTTATATAACTTTTGTTTACTAGCTGTCATCATGTGATGAGGCTGGTGTGAGGCACTCAACATCATGAAGGCAGAGAGTCTTGATCTGTACAGAAATCGAATGACTGAAATAAGTTTAATCCTATTTAGCCCGGGCTATTTTGAAACTGCATAGCCCAGGGGAGGGGGGGGGGGCTTCTAAGGCCCCCCTATGATCTCGGCCGTGAAACGCCCGATCGTCGCGAAAATTTGCATACATGTCAAGTGAAGTGTATAGAATACTATGGTAATTTCAATTTTTTGAAAAATTCACTCATTAGCATATTTATGGTAATTTATGCAAATAAGGTCATCAAATTCACATTTTTGCCCATAAATCAGACATTATTCATATTTTAAGCATTCTTTCTCACTACATATATTTTTTTAAACCATTTGGAATAATAATACAACACAAAAAATTGAAAAACCAGGGTTATTCCTTATGTGTTCTATTGTTTTGATAGTTTTTTATGTATTTCTTTGTTTTTTTAACTTATGTATTTTATTGTTTTTATTGTTTTATTTTATTTCCAACTATAATTCAACTATTCGGACCCAAAAATAAACACCTAAACTATAAACAAGACCAAATAACCAATGTTTTATCTCTTTATTTGAAAAATGAGATTTCCATATGTTTTGTACACAAATCACAAAAATGAGCGATTTTCGGGCTGACATGCAAAGACAAAATGACACGTGACTTCATAATGGTAGGTTTGATTTTCAAAAAATTTCTTTCAAAAGATGCGCAAGACTCGAAAAGAAAAAAGTCACAAAATTTCAGTGCAAGATTTTCTTGCGTTAAAAAATTATCGCGTAAAATGTCGAGGGGGGGGGGGCTTCTAAAGCCCCCCCCGGGCTAAATAGGGTTAACACTGGTAGATGGAGGGGGAGCAGGAATTTTGTAAACATATGGTCAGAGACCGCATCAATGAAAGGGTCTTGTTGGGGCTAGTATTTATTTGCACAGAGTAGTTTTCCCAATATTAGTCCTTTGTATACTTTTATAAGTTAAATCAGACAGTGAGAAGTCAGAATGTGTATTATTTATATGTTTTAAAATACTTAGTACCTTCGGGTGATTTTTATGTACATTATAGTAAGATCAAAAGTGCATGAAAATATAAGGCCTTTGTCAAGAGTCAGGGATAGACAGTCCAATAGGATATGACCATACTGAAGATTCAGGTAAGAGGAAGATCAGGAATTCCTGAGCGTAGGAGCGAATTGCAGTGATTCTACTGTATTTTAGAGGTATGTGAATTAAATGCAAATCTTCTCAGTAAAATATTCAGTATAGCACCTTTTCATTGTAATCCAAATATTTAGACCAGCATTGCTAAAGATAATATTCTATTAGAGAGTTTAAAGAATGATAATTTTATTTACAAGCGTAAAAGAATTATGATGATTATAATAATAGATGTTATATTGTACATGAAAGTGGTCTAGCTATAGAACATATACATTCCTTACTATAATTTTCCTTTTTGGTTCGTATTATGTGGCCTGCTATGTTTTAATAATTTGTATGTACTATAGTTCTGTTGAATGAAGACATAATACCATCAAGGCAAGAACAAAATAGCTGAATACCTAGGGGGCAAAACCTTAATTTGGGGGGTTTTGGTCGGGATGTTGTAGGTCGGTCGGTATAAACATGATCAGAGGATCTTCCTGCACAATTTCTAGGTGGACTACCCTGACAATATTTTTCTGGAAAAAAAAAGTCAATAATTAGAAGATAATTTTGTAACAGAACATCATTTTACCATGCATGTGGTATCAATGAAAGAAAATTAAATTATCTACAAGATGATACCACATTCATGATGATTGAATTTATTTTACATAATAATAATAATAATAATAAATAATAGGATAATTATATAGCACCAGTATCCGCCAAGCTCTGACGCTCATGGTGCTTTACGCATATTACCCTGGTCGTAGCCGAGCTGCCAAAGTAACTAGTGCTGAATAATATCAGGTACCCATTTACACCTGGTGGAGTTATTTCTCCATATTTCAATCACTTTTGAAACTGAAGAATTAAAAATATATAGAAAACCTTCCTAATATTAGTTGAATACGATCTGAAAATTACAGGTTCATTGATTTTTATGTAAAAAAATGTACAGCGTAGTAAAGTTCATTTTGGACAATATGCACAGACCAGTTCCTTGATTAAACGTTTAACGTGCGTCGTCATTGCTGCATATCTGTCAGGTTTGCCCTTGCAACTGAAACGTGAATCATCTAATTGCATTCTATCCTTTTTCTTAATGATTGAAGGGACAGTGAACGGTTGGGCTGGGCGATGGGGGAGACACAAGTGGCAGGGGCAATTCATAAATTCCCCCCAAAATTAGTAATTCTGATTTGTAATTAATACAAATTGTGTAAGGTAATTGTAGAATCTTGGTTTTTGTATGACATGGTCAAATAAAACATAGAATCCTGTCTGGATCTACAAATATTTTAATGAAGTTCTATAAATAACTAATCCAGAAAAACAGAATATTCCGGATTATTTGTAAGGGTTGGCAGGTATGTAATATTAGTTGAATATGATCTGAAAATTACAGATGTTTTGCTTTTCATGTAAAAAAAGTTATAGCATAACAAAGTTCATTTTGGACAATATGCAGTTTAGTTCCCTGATAATACATTTAATATGAGTCATCATTGCCGCATACCGTATGTGTCAAGTTTGCAACTGAAACGTGAATGATTAATTGCATTCTTCCCTTTTTCTATAAATGACTAAACAGAGTTGTTAGCAACATCAGAGAGACAGGAAATCAAACATTACAAGTACATTTCAACTAATAGAATGATGAAGAAACTATCAGAAACTTCCTAACCAGCTTGAACCTTTTGGTATGAGGTAGGAATTTCAGTTGCAGGTTTGAGGATGTAGTAAGTTTTGCTAACTCAAATCAGAATATTTTTACTCTTAGCAAACTTTTGGATTATTGATAAAATATTATCTAGCAGCTTATTACAGAATTTCCATATGTAATCATCTGGCATCACTATGGAGCAATCCTGAAGATTCTTCTCAAGGACTCTGTATAACAACATTACCTGATGTAAATATAAGAGAAAGTGAACCAATAAATATATAGTTTCTTATACTAGTTCCACTTTAACACTTGTAGATTAGAATAAACCTTAATATAATGTAGCATAAATTTTGTTCCATCTTGTGTTTTGGATCACAACACTTAAATCGGATTTGCAACCTTTTGTGATGACTTTACATGTTTGTTACATCCAATGCTCCTGTTAATCCAATACTAATATACCTATTACCCCCATCTCAATGTTGTTTTATAATTGATATAGGTATAAGAGGGTGACATTGACCAAAGCAACCTCATACTAGATGAATTTCAGAATTCCTGGGTCTGTCTTTTAAGATCTTACAAGAATTACAAGAAAGAGTGAAAGTGAGGCCTGCTAATGTAAAGTAACATTTCAAAGTTAGGTTTATATGAAATATAAATACAGTGCAACTATTATTCAAATGATACACCCCTCTATATTATAGGTTCCTACAGCAAGATGAGTAACCAGCCAAGAAAACGTGTGGTAGATAGTGCCATGTCCATGAAGCATGTGCCTGCTAAGAAGTCTTCCAAAGATATGAGCACTGACTACACAAAATGCATCATATGCCAACAAGAATCTGTGATAAGCCTATTCTTCATCCAGTTACGTGTGTAACAACAAAATATGAACAAATTTAAGGCTCTTCGCATTCTGGTCGGTCAAAGTTAAACCCTTATGATGTTGTAGATGAGCTGGAAGCTCCTCTTTTCCAGCTCCTGGTCTGTCCACATTCCTCATAGAATCATCCGCGTAAGGTACCGAGACACTCTTGAGGAGCTTGGTGTCGATAAAGGAGATAAATACCGGGCGACCATCTTGAAACATACATTACATGAATACTATATTTTGGTTCTCAATCAAACCAAAGGTTCAGGATTTATATGTGCTTCCACATTACCACTTGGTGACGCACTGAAAAAACTGAGGCGCCTAGAAGGAGATGATATCGAGGGAAAACACCATACACTCCTGCAAGCATCAAAGATTCTTAGAGCAGATTGTGAAGTGTAAGAAAGAGATGTGTGAGAAAAATTCAACTGAGATTTCATTCACATCTGCATACAATATGGTTCCAGACTCACTCACTCTTCAGATGGCCATGCAGACTGAGGACGTTCTGCTTATGTGGCGCCTCGGTAGAATGATCACAACTTCGCAACTGGTGTATGCTCCTAGAGTTTTAGAAACAGGACTTCCGGGCTTTTCCTCATTCCGTGCTGACCTCCATCCACATAGACAGGCTAGAATCATTGGCTATCTTCCTCTGACTTGTCAGGACATCACATGCACGTGGTAACAAATACACAATTATAACTGGAGATCAGGCTACATATGAGCTCGCTGTAGCCATCAGAGACAAGCATCGTAGTGAGTTCAGCAATGTGGTCTTACTGCTGGGTGGCTTTCATCAAGCTCACAACTACATGAAAGCAGTTTGCAGATCTTTAGGGCGGCAGGTGCAGAAGATTTTCTTGTTGCAGCTGGTCTGTGCCAGGAAGGGGCTGCCAAGAAGATGTTTGGTGATAAAGTCGACTACTACCAGGCCATACATGCCCTCAGAATCCTGAGCGAAACTATGTGGCGCCTCAACTAGGAAACATTCTAGACATGATGGGCAGCAGATAGAGAAACAGATCACTGGCAGCCTGAGGTGGAATCTGTCTTGAAAATGCTCTATGAAAAAGACATCACTGCCACTGAAAAGTTGCAAATGCTTCAGAATTCCCATGAACAGTTATCAGCCCTTCAGGAACTTTTCCCAGAATCAATGGTTGATCAACCAACAGCAATCTTCTGGTCCACCTTCCTGATGTTCTGCATAGATTTAACTACTACCAGCGAGAAGCTGACTGGGTAGGACATGTCTGTGAATCATATTGAATGATACCTTACCTCAAAGCAGCAGGGCATTACAAATATGGGCAGCAGTCTCTGCCTCTCTATCTTGATGAGATGAAAAATCTTCCTAAAACAGCCCCTGATGTACATGAAGCACTTATGGCGGGTGCATTTGTTGCAAGGAGAGCAGATGGCAAGCACAATTGTGTTTCTCCTGACATGCTTCTTGAACAGACAAATGCAGATGCCAAGTAAAGAAGAAAGCGGTCATGACGGAATTACACCTAACCCCGCCGCACGGATAAAATGGGTTTAAACAATTAAAACCCATCACATCTGTCTCTGCACAGTAAATATCGATGCTGCATCTTCTTTCACCCAGCCCTAACAATGAATCTGGTGTATGTCGAGTAACAAGGGACACAGAGATGGTCATCAAGGTAATGGTAGCAGTCGATACGAATCCATCCAGTGCAACTACAACATCCCTGATAAATGTGTCAACTGGGCAATGAGCTGATTGCACAGTTTAGGACAACTTGAGCAGTGTTAAACAAATAGGCGTGGAGGCACTGTCTCAATCACTGTCCAGTCTTCAGAAGAAGACAAGTATTATGAAGCTGAACACGTTCCACACACAAAACAAGAAACAAAAGAAGTCTGGGCCCACAAGAGCTAAATCAGGGAAGAGTGATGAAGTAACTGCTCTTCTGCGTATGACACAGATCATTGCTAGTGATGGAGAACTAGAGATTGTTGACTTGGTGAGAACCCCAAGGCAAGGGCCATAACTGACGTTGTATCCAGAGAACTAATCAAGGAGGTATTAGGGCCATCACAACATATATTAACACCTCAGCAAGTGATGACTTCAAGGAGTCTGATCTGGGCAATCTCAGAGCATACAAGTTTTTGAACAAAAGATCTATACTCTCCTAAGGCTCCTCCCCCCCCCCCAAACAGGAGACGCATTTTTTCTTCATGTAAAGAGAGCTGCATGCCCTTGCAACGATTATGAATAAGAGAGCACACATTGCCAAGCCTAAAACCCCACCCTGGACAGAATTTGGGTGGAATCTGGATGATCAGCACGTGCTTCCTGTTCCAAGTACCCATCAAGCCTGGCCCGTTTCAATGAAGAAGGCTATATCATGCGGATGTACTGAAGGGTGCAAGAAGAACTGCTCATGTGCTAAGAAGGAAATACCGTGCTACATAGGGTGCCGCTACCAAGGACTATCAAGCAAATTTAGCAGGATGCAGGACATCGAATACGACATCAGAGCAGCGAAAATCGATGACAGTAGCAGCGACTCAGACAGTGATTAGGAAAGAAAAACAGTAATATCAGAAATAAAGAATATAGGTAGTCGCTTTAAATGTAAATAACTATGATGTACCAGGAAATCGAGTTTGTCGACAAATTGAATAACATTCTTAAATTGCAAGTTCATCTCTTATTTTCATCTCAATTCCCTTTTCAATTAGATATCATCATCATCAGCCATATTGTTATTTACATTTAAAGGAAACCAAAACCTTCATACTAAGTTACTTTTATTGTAAAGTTTAAGATATTTGAAAAATATCAGTGAAAATTTGAACAAAATCGGACAAGGAATAAGGAAGTAAGAGCTTTTTTAAATGACTAGTCACTGGAGGGCGGTGTTCAATTTGATGACATCATCTGTGAACAACTCTCCATGCCTTTTGTACATCAAATTTCATGTTTTTCCTTCTTTCTTGTGATTGAGATAATGTACTCCCCTGAAAGCAATATATAGAATGCAAAATGATATTCTACTTCACATGTTATGAAGTCGGATCAAGAACACAAATAAATACGAAGAAAACAAAAAAATTGTGAAATTTCATGTACAAAAGGCATGGAGAGTTGTTCACAGATGATGTCATCAAATTGAATACCGCCCTCTAGTGACTAGTCATTTCAAAAGGCTCTAACTTTCTTATTCCTTGCCCGATTTTGTTCAAATTTTCACTGATTTAATTCAAATCTTTTAAACTTTACAATAAAAGTAACTTAGTATGAAGGTTTTGGTTTCCTTTAAGCAGGTATGTGCACTGTGATTTTAGCCAAAAAAGCTGTTGGCCTGTGAGTGGCACTTTTAAAAATAAATGTCATATTTGATTCATATTACTTTAGAACATTCTCCAAATTGATTCTTTGACTTCACAAACTTTGGTCCGGAATCCAATATACACTACAGACGGTTGTATAGTCAAAACTAAATTGTAAAAAGAAACCCTGACATGATGCAGAAATTTTAAATTGAGGTTAATGCAACATGTTACGAAAGTAAAATCAGAAAGAAGTTAAGTGAACACTAAATATAATTCAAGACTTGGCAATAAAAACCTTTTCTGATAGGCTTTAAATTATTTGAACACTTTGCATGTATTGACTCCCAATGTGCATTTCCCATTCAATACTCAAGTTTATTATGGTTTATCCCTAAATCAAACATTCAGGGGCAGCAATATCTTGTCATGGCAGGAATGGGGGGGGGGGGGGGAGGAGGTGGGTGGGATATTTAAGGAAGTTTGGCAACTGAAGGGGGAAGGTTTACCCCCCCCCCCCCTCTCCCACTACAATTTTGTATTTTGTTGTGAGAAAATTTTGCGACATCCTCGTGTAAATCTTACTGGGAGGATGCAAAGTGACAGAATGACAAAAACAATACACATTTTAGTTTTTAACTTTTAAATTCCTGACCCAACTTAATTTTTTTTCTACAACTGTAATCACAGTGATTTTTCACATTTTCAAGCAATTGATGTTCTGCGTCTTGACAAAGCGCCCCCTTAGGCTAGACTACGGCATTACAATGTGTTTTTTCACTCACCTTGGACTCGTTTCCTTCTTTAGCAAGAACTGCATAGAAGTCACTGTGCAAGGCAGCTTGAAGTAGTGTAACATCCTTTAGAGAGGGCACAGAGCATATAATCTCCCCCATATCATGTGATATAATTGGTCCAAATTCTCCATTTACTCCAAGATCGATCTAAATCAAAAGCAAAAACAAAAACAAAACAAACGAAAAATTAAAATATGAGAAAGTCAGAGTCCATTGATAAAGTTTAAGACCACCTCAGATTTTGTTGATGCTTCTGTCACTCGGCCTGCATTAAGAAAGTCTCATTGAATGATTACAGAATGGTTACTTAATACAGTGGTCGATATCATCAGAGTAGTGCTACGAAACCTATATGATCCCAAATTTATTTGCAAAGGAAGGCCTGCTATAACATTTTATCTGCAATGCAGCATGGTAAAGGCCATTTTTAAAGGGCCCTAAATTATTCCATCCATCAAAATTAAGGGTTACTCTGAAGTCTGAGCATCAAATGATCAAGAGGACTGGTTGCAGCAAAACTGAGGTGTAGGATGCCATTTCAAGCAGACAGTTTATTTTCCAACCAGAAAAGGGTTGGTAGTCCAATAAAACTAATTCAAATAGTTGACTGTTGATATTTATCATATGCCTATAGTGATGGGTATATGAAATGATACTGCTCAAGTATTATCATAATGTATGTTTCACATCAACCCCCCCCCCTCCCCTCCACTACAACAAAAATGGACAGTCAATAATCATCATTGCAGGTAGTATACCCACTTAAAAATATCATTAGTGTAAATATTGTATTAAAGACATCTCCTTGAAGACTTGTGCAAATTTGTAATGCTTCCTTCTCATCTCTTTCTTTCTCTCTTAAATGTTGTTTTGTGTATAAATTATTTGAAACTTTATTAATTTGATTTTGTATAGTGCTGGGTGCTTTGCCTATTTAATGAGCTATTACATTTCACCTTTGACCTACATACTCAGAAATCGAACTTAGGCTGTACATGTATTTTGATACCATGTACCTTCATATTAAATTTCATTAAATTTGTCTAACATTACTCAAGTTATCGAATGGAAACCAGATTTGCATATTTAATGAGCTATGACCTTTGACCTACATATTCTGAAATTGAACTTAGGCTGTGTTTTGATACCATGAACCTTCATATCAAATTTCATTAAAATCTGTCAAACAATACTAGAGTTATGGATCGGAAACCAGATTTGCATATTTAATGAGCTATGACCTTTGACCTACATACTCTGAAATTGAACTTAGGCTGTGTTTTAATACCATGAACGTTCTTATCAAATTTCATTAAAATCCGTCAAACATTACTAAAGTTATCGATCGGAAACCAGATTGTATTTTTTCGCATATTTAATGAGCTATGACTTTTGACCTTTGGCCTACATACTCCGAAATCAAACTTAGACTGTATTTCGATATCATGTACCTTCATATTAAATTTCATTAAAATCCGTCAAACATTACTAAAGTTATCGATCGGAAACCAGATGTGTAGTTTTTCGCATATTTAATGAGCTATGACCTTTGACCTTTGACCTACATACTCCGAAAACGAAATTAGCCTGTATTTTGATATCATGTACCTTCATATCAAATTTCATTAAAATCCGTCAAACATTACTGAAGTTATCAATCAGAAACCAAATTTGTTACGGACGCACGGACGGACGCACGGACGGACGCACGGAAGGACGCAAGGCAGCGTTACTATAATTAATCTACATCTGCACAGTTCAACTTAAGTTGATGCAGTTAAAAATGATTGAGCATCCCATTTGGCTTTTCATATATAAGTCATTTGTAAAGTCATGCGTAACTTTACGAACAGCTTTATGAAACACCCCCCTGGAGTACTGGTTAAACATGATCTGAAATATTCATATCATGTGAATAATATTGTCAAGCGAGCAAGCACAAAACTATACATGCTCAGAATATTAAACAGATTCAAACTTCCAGCAAATGATCGAATTTGTCTACTGTTCTTACGTTCGGCCCATGGTAGAATACTGTGCCCCTGCTTGGCCCTCTGGGGTAACTGAAAACCAAAGTAATCAGATTGAAAGAATCCCAAAAATGAGCATGCTGCCTTGTGCTTGGACTGCACTTACCAACATGCTCTAAAAGAATTGGAACTGCCCACTCTCAATGAATGACGAGAGAAACTAGCATTGAGTCTTTTCAAAAGATTCGGACCAGCCCATCATCAAACTTTCACCACAGGCTTCCTCCCTTGCGATCAACTTTATATTGTTGATTATTGCAAAATGGACAAACCTATTCCGAAGTCTTTTGTAAAACGGAGCGCTACAAAAGAAGTGCTCTCCTCTACCTCATCATAGGCTCTTGAATTTAAATTTACAGTAAAAAGGGGGGGGGGGGAGAGGGAGCCATAAATAAATCTGTTTTGTGCAATATACTTAGGTAAAACTACCAGCAAAATCCCATGATCCTCAGTTTAATGCGTTTATCTTGTCATTATTGTCAATTATGTAGTGTTAATTAGATTATTATACCATACAGAGGGTATGTGGCACTGTTTTTTAAAACTATGACCAAATAGCTAAATGGCCCTTTGAGAGCCTGAAACTTTACAAAGATAAAGAATTAGAAATCAGTTACAACTTTTTCTTGTAGCATTGACCTAGATTGACCTCCCATAGCTTAATGAAAATTGTTCAACGTTGCTTTATGTGCATGAGGTATCCCTGAACAGCAAATTGTTTACAGAATTTTGTAACAAAATTGACATACCTTTTTGGTTGGAGCCGAAAAAAATATATAGCCACAAACAATATGTTTTTTTTCTATTGATGATTAATGAGCATGAGTGGATCTTAAAGAAAGTTAACAGTAATCTGAATTAACTCGTGTATTTTGATGGAACAGTGCAATTGAAAATGGTGTTTCGGACGTTACATTTTCCGTAAACAATGTAGACCCTCATTTAACCCACTAGAACAATAAACTAATGAGATTGTATATGGTTTGAATAAGCTTATTAGTTACTCCAAGTCATTAAATTAAAAGAAATTATCATTTAATTATAATAGCGCTTATATTAGAAATACACTCAAAACTTGAAAAAGTTGTCTCATTTTCCTTAAACAATTTTGTAACGTCCGAAACAACTTTCAATTTGAAGTAGCAGAAAATATATGAACTGCAGGACCGATCTATCGTAACATTTTAAAACATTTCATGGCGGCTACCCACCAAAAAAAATAAAATTGCAATACATCACTACAATACTATAGTTAAAACCAATTTTCCGTTAACAGTTTTAACGTCCGAAACAAATGTAACGTCCGAAACAAAAAATACCAATTAAATGATGATAATCCATATTTTAGGGTGTCTGGAGTGAATTTATCATTATGAAATAAGTTATTATAAGTCTTAGCACAAGTCAAAACACAAATCAGGTCTTTCAAATCCAATAATTTTGTGTAAGCTCAAGAAGGGTGTTTCGGACGTTACACTATGTGATTGTTAACACATAGTTTGCAAATTTCAACTAATTTTTGATCATATGTGCAAGTTACGATTTCACAATGCACACTCCTGATAAAAACTATTTTGATAGTTTTGTTAAGATTTAAATATAAAAATATGAAGAAAGATGATGCAAAAGATCAAATTTTCTGTATAATATCTAAATTTTCTGCAAAATTGACTTATAAAACATAAAATATTGAAGCCACACTACCATATTTAGTATTGTATTTTATGTAATTTTAAAACATGCTTGTAAAGTGTGAACAATTCAGCCATTGGCTGCTAATCATATTTTGTTTTATATCATGGATAAATAAATATCAAATACCCATTCCTAAAATAAATGCATGTCTGTACATGCCCGTTGGGTTTGCAATTGAAGGGGAAGTCCACCCTGATATTAAGTTGGTTTTAATAAAAGCAGGAGGAGAGAAACAAATTATTGAAAGTTTGAACAATATCTGATTTAAAATAGGAAAATTTTGAATTTTAAATCGTTTTTTAAATAATTTTTTGCTCAAACTGTCACTGACCCGTTTTTTTCTTATTTTCTGCTTCTATTCAAACCAACATAATATCAGGGTGGACATCCCCTTTAAATAATAATACTTATTAATATATGTAAGCTATCAAATTTACATCTTTGTGTACACCGAGTCCAGTGAATATATAACCTGCTATGGTGTGTGCTGTTGTGGATCCGTCTATTGCCAGATGTGACATTCCACCCCTCGCCAAGGCTGCAGTATCTAGGTCCTGACTCTCAAAGGATACATCAACCAACAAATGTACATCCGAGTACTCTTGGATGATACCCTGTACCATGCATTTCATGACATGGTGTGCGATGGTTTTGTCCCGTGACACAGTGAAGTACAGGAGATACCTAAACTCTTCCTTCCTAGGCAGTACTACTTGCTCAATCAGCCTGTTGAATTCATTGTTATCTAATTCAAACAGGGAAGCAAGATGGACCCCAGCCATGTACTCCTGAAAGAGTTTGTGTGGAAAGAAGATAGAAGACTGTAGAGACATACTAGATGACAATTTTTTCTCCTGAGACAACACCCCTACTCTGCAGGCTGTTTCAATGGAGTCCGAGCACTGTTCAAAATCACCTTCTTTGAAAGTAAGGGTGTTTTCTTGTAGCCCGATGAAAGCAACTTTGGCAACTGGTTCCATGAGCTTCTCAATTTGAGAGCGAAAGGCTTGGAAATCTTGGCTGTCTAAATCTGTGATCTCTTTCTGAGCATAATGCACCTTCAAGAATTTAAACATTTCATCAAATATTTGAGAAAAAGTTTGTAATGACTTAAACTTTTCTTGTTTTTCGTCACCAAGTTCTCTCCACATAAGACAGACCATAGCTATGTAGATAGGATACGGGGCCATATTCTTAGATATGATGTCATTGTCTTTGGTTAATTGGATAAGCTGATCTGCTTTGACCCTATCATCTTGAAAGTACTTGTGAATGTAATCCTCCACATTCTCCTTGCTAAAACCTTCCACATGCAGAAAAGTGTACTGTTTGCTCAGACTATCATCCCATCTTATCTCTTTGACCTTCCATGGGCGACTTGTCACCAACACCGGGCAAGTGGCAAGTTCATCGGAACGAAGAATGTCTGTAAGTGGAATTTCACCTCTCTCTGAAGAACTTCCACTTGCCTCTGCACTGTTGACTCTTGGCTGCGAAGTGGCACTTGTTGGGCTTCCTGACTTTGGTTGCATTAACTTTCTCCGCTTATTCTTGTTCATCTTTGATTTTGATCTTGCCTTGGTTTGATCAGCAGACTTTGGCTGGTGACAGTCTGAGTTTGAACCGGCTTTCCTTCGCTGTACAACCTTGCCATCAAACTCATCTAATCCATCAAACGCAATGAATACATCTTTTGGATTTGAACGGATGTACTCAGTGATTTGGCAGGCTGTTGCTGGGTTGCCCTTGGAGAGATACGACTTGACAATCTCACCAATCGTGTATTGTTTGGCTTCACAAAAAGGGACAACAAGTACCCACACAAACTTTTGGAGAGCAGGACTGTCATTTATCCAGTCCCAGGCAATCTTAGCACAGAATGTTGTCTTTCCTGTCCCAGCCTCTCCCTGAACCATGATCCGCTTGGGAAACTCTCCATTGACTTTAAGATCAAAGAGATCACTGTACTCAAGTGGACGCTTACGTTGTCGATATTCCTCTTCCAGGACAAGGTTTGTGTACATGTCGCCAAACTGCACAATGGAAATTGGGATGAGAGGATCAGCTCTGATCTTACAGAGAGTTGTCCGGTATTTGGATCTCAAATCATCTGCACATCTCTTGATCAGGTCAGGAGAAAGTGGTTGGGGCTGTGATCCTGGCAATCTAACAGGTGAACCTTTAAAATTTAATAATACAAGTGTGATAATTTTTTCTGAATATCAAAATGTTTTTTAAAGAATATTCTGAACATATACACATGAACATAAAAACAAATTTCTGATGTATTTTTTGTTTGTCAACTTAACATTTCATTCATTCATGTCTTTGCAGTTTTATTTCTGCACATCCATCATACATGTATACTCTTGTTGATGCATGACATGTCTGTTTGTTTTCTTTTTTTAAGTATCTCAAAAAAATCTGTCTTTAGGTATTAAAGATAAAGTTGAGTTCTGGTCATGCGATTGGATTGTGAAAGAAGCGGTGTGGAATCAATCTGAAAAAGTTGATCATGTAGCATAGAAGTATTGGTGTGTACTGTAAGGTTCTGGAGTCATCAAAATGATATGAAATGTGGCACAGTCGTAGTTAAGTAACAAGCACTGTACACAGAAAGATGTATATGGGACTATATACTCAAACATGTAGCATAAAAATTGGGCTTCGTTTTTTAAGCTGTTACTTGTCCTATTTAGAATATGAAGGCATTTGAAGAGCCATGCTTTTCAGGAAGCATTTTTTCTGTGATGTTCTTCCAGACTTGCATAATCACAATGATAACGCTCACAAATTATTTTTTCACCTCTCCCCAGATCTCAACCTTCTCTTTCAGGTATATATATATATACATATCTATTTATATATATGTAACATGTCAATATCATTAATTTCCATCGCTAACAGTATAGATAATAATGATGAACCTCGTAAACCTTATGAATTATAGCTCAAAGAACAATTCCATTCAATATAGAAAGAACTGAGAGAAATGTAGTTTTCCTTTTGTTTTGTACACAAGAAACAGAAATTCTCCATTTTTGGGGCTGACATAAATAAGGTCACAAAAGATAAAACGATTCTGTAATGGTACAATTTTCAGAAACTTGACAAAAAAATAGTCAGAAAGTGGTTGCATGGGCTTGAAATGCCAAGAAATTTGAATGACAATCCTTGAACAGCTTCATGTAAAACTAATTTCATCATCTCCCTTACACAGCACAAAGTGAGTGGGTCTGTAACCATGTACATGTACTAACGACCACAGCCCACAAGACCGACAATATATGTCTAGCGATCCCTCTGAAAAGTTGTTAGAAGGTCCATGAGACCAACTACCCATGCACTGACAACCCACAAGACTGACATGTTGGTCTCGTAGGTGTTCTGACAACTATTTTTAGGGTTCAACAGACCGGCAGTATCAGTCTTGTGGGATGTTCATCTACTGAGATGTCCTGCTATAAGTAACACTATTTGTACCAAATGAGAAAGTGTCATCAGTCTTTGTTGGCTGCCTGCAAGAGCAATATATTATCAATGACAGTAAAGGCCTTCTTGCAGGCAGCCGACATGATTTCCTTCTTATTCTCACCTGTCCTGTTTGGGACTAGACTGCCAGCGAGTAGTTCATCAGAGAGAGACCCTAAGTCACTATTTTTCAATCCCTCTGCAAGAAGAGCCCTGATGTCTGTACCTGGGGGCTGTTTGTCTCTCCATCTTGTGAACACTGTCATCAATGCATCACTGGTATTTTGGCTCTCTTTCTCGATGTGACCGAGCTCTGCATTTGGGATGTCAAAGTTAATGCCCACCTCTTTGTAGTAGCTAGGATCAATTTGCTTGGACAGCTTAAAGAATTCTCTCTCACTGACAATCCTGTAATTAAAAAAATAGATTTTATCAAGCATATCTTAAATACTAAGTATCTTATAAGTCTTATTGTATTGTAACCCTTACTGTACCCACCTATCTTCATACTTAGTAAGTTTAGTTCAGTTCTTAAAAAGCCTTTGGGCGAAACAGACAACTACAACTACATGGAAGAATAATCTACTCCAGCCTATAAATATGTACACTAGCTCCTACAGCACCTACAGCTTCATGAGCATACATATTTGATTTTATTAAGCTACATGTACTGATAAGATTTATTCAAAGGTATATTGAAGCATACAGGCACAAGGCTTATATCTCATTAAGCAGTGCACTTGGATATGGAAGAAAAATAGGCATGCATGTATGTGGTGTTATGGTTTAATAGTAAGAAAAGTACTTAATATCCCTACTGCTCATTACTGTTGCAATAAAGAAAAGGGAATAAGCTTCAAATACATATAGACTGACCTGTCTGGTCCAGGGTTGGTTTCAACATCACCAGATCTCATCAGGAGAATCATGAGCAGATAGAGAAGGCAGAATCCATCCATGGTGCTAGACGTCCTTCTCATTCGACAGAAACTCAGTCGGCTGGAAAGGTTCATGAATGATAACCCCAGCAAGACATCCTGTAATTGACAAAAAAGGGGATTGATGCAGTTAATTATACAAATTGAAGTGAATTAAATTGAATTGAATTTATTTATTCACCACCATTGAAAACATTGAAACAAAAGATCATTAATATAAACATGACATGAGTTAAAATACATGTTCTACAGCGATATAATATAAAATTAAAAGATAGTTATAAGTAAATTTAGTGTCAAGAGTAAAACAATAAATGACTATTTACAATGAGTAAATTACTCATATTAGTGAATAGTGACATACATGTACGTGTATGTACAATGTACATAAAATGGTTCACTGCTTACACTTTTTCGCCCCTTATCCAAATATTTGCCTCCTGACTTGACTCTTTTGCAATTTAATACTGAATTTTATTCAAAGATAAAAGGGGATGACATGTGAAGATCTAGCTTATATCCAGGAAGGGAAGGGGGGGGGCGGGATGGGTGTCTCCATTTGTGCTGCAGAGAGACAAAATACACATTTAAAGGATTTATGAAATAAAGCTACCGGTAATCAAATATCATATTGAGATTATTTTCATTGTGTATATGGTAGGGTGTAAATACAAAGGAATTCTTGGGGAGCATCCCCCTCCCCCCCCCCCCACCCCCTCCGTGATGTAGTGCAATGTGTTTTTTTCATTGTTGAAATATGTAAATTTTTACAATTCATAGCATCTGATATCACTACGGTCTCTATGTTAACTCCCATTATACACTATTAGTATTTCTTTAATTACACCCTACTCTTACAGTAAGCAGAAAAATCAAGGAGAATAGTGAGTTGAAACAAAAAAGGAAAGTGTGGGAGCTTTTGCATTTTTTAACTTCAAATTGTGCAATCTGATGCATACCTATTGAGGAAATTTGAGCTTAAGATTAATTGTATCTGGGTAAGCGTTTGGGATTTGATCCACCAGAAATTTGGAATATATTTTTCATGAAGAAAATAAATAATTGACAAACTAATATGCACCCTAACACACACACACACACACAAACAAAAATATTATTGTACGTAATGTCGTACACAGTTCCAACATAAACCATATGCCAAATACATACATGTATGATTCAGCAACATACAGCCAAGACCGAGTCACGAGGGAGCAAAGCGACCAAGGGCTGGGGCAGAGCCAGAGGAGGATGGTTTGGGAGGGGGTATCCCCCTCCCGGGCTCCCACGGTTAGGGAGATATTGCATTTATTTACATATAATAATGGTGCATTTTGGTGCTTGTCGTGCCATACCTACCTCAGTGGGAATTATAGAATCTGAGTTACAATGTAACATGTCATGATTCAAAAAGACAAAGAAAAATGGTTACGCTCTCATCAGATGTTTACGGTTCAAACATAATCAAATAATATTTACACAAACATGACACAAATCTGACACTAATATGCCATACTATATTTAAACAAAATTTAATTTGGCGTTTTCCTAACGGTTTTCATAACACTACAGTCCATTGGGGAAAATGAGTCGGTATGGTAAAACCGGTCACTCAAAGATATTTACTTTTTAGAGGCACTTCGTGATCATTTTGATGCGCAATTTTTTTAACACAATGTATCTCAGATTTAGCATTGTTAAACGATGCCTTTAATAAGCTAGTTCGTAATTAGCCACTGGAGTCGTATGACGTCAACGTGTCATAGCTAGGTCACATGAGCATAATATCTCCAAACGCCCACAAGCTTGTGTGCTTAGCGTCTATACCATGGGATGTTGGGAAGAAGGAAACAAATCGTGTGATGCAATAAACTTATGAAGTGCTACTGCGCGGATCGGATTGGAGCGAATGATGGTTTCCTATTTCACGAAAGTGTAGTTTCTGTGTACAACCTTGGCAGCTTGTGGACGAGTGGATAAGTCACCGGACTGTGGATCACAAGGTCCGCGGTTCAAGTCCCACCGCGGCACTAGTGTCCTTTGGCAAGACATTGATCTACATTTGCCACTCTCCACCCAGGTGTTAAATGAGTACCCGGTAGGATGCGAAAGCTAGTGTGCTTAGATTAGCATTGTGCTTGTAAAAATGACGCCTGGCTGGAATGCTCCCCAGGGAGTGGAGAATGTGCATACATTGTGTGCGGGTAAGCCTGAATACGATGACCGGGGTAATAATATATGTATCTGTAAAGCGCTTTGAGAGGGCTTCAGTCCTGAAAAGCGCTATATAAGAACTAGCTATTATTATTATTATTATGATGAAAATCAAAATTCCTTGTCAATACGGAGAAATTAGCTGAAAATACGACTCAATGACTGCGACATTGGGATTGTTTAATGCCACTACTTTATTTGTCTATAACGTAATCTATGATGGCCGACCATTGCCACGTCCTATATATGTATCATGCAGGTGCGCGCGCTCTTAAAATTACCTCATGGGGAACCCCCTCAAATTTAATGGCATTCCGGGTATGCGAATATGCAGTTGTAGGCTAGCGTAGGAATGAATTGAATAGCTGAATGAGAACAAAGACATGTTTGTTGTTGTTGTGACAGTGCAATTGTAAATACAATGCATGACATGAATACATATATATTTGTAATATCACTTCCTCAGGCAAGGTGCCTAGTATAGCGCCATCTATTGCTATTCACTTGATATCAAACACTCAGAAGGCTACATGAACATGGTTGTGCTGAGGTTCAAGAATCCCCTTTTTGCCAGCGCATCAAGGAGATTGAAGTCATAATATTGTCATTAAGTCAGGCAAAGAGGTTAGTTTTCATGTTCTATATTTAATGTATTTCTATGAATTGTCGAAACATAAAGTGTAAATTAGTGTGTGTGTTTTAAACTTCATACTGAGAGATGTTGATGTTAGTATGTAATGTAATACATGCAAGCCTATGCGGTAATGATATATTATGTACATTTGATTTTATATTAAGAACAAGGATAACAGTAAAGAAACTGCTAATAATTTGAAGATATATTATGAGAGTGCTGAAGCACTAAGTAGAGATTTGGAATTTAGTATTGTCTGGTTCATTGTTTAAACAAGCTATAGTGAAGTCTAGTTACACTTGTATTGTGAGTTTGTATTTATGTAAAGCCATAATGCAGATGGACTAGAATAGTGACTGGGATTATGTTAACAGGTTATGAAGATGAGTTTCTCAAAGAGACTGTGTTATTGCTATATTGACGATGCTATGATGTACTTGTATTTATGATTCTTTATCTGTGATTTATCCACAGTTTTCACGGAATGAAACGGAATGAAACAAATGAAATGGTTACTCAAATCATTAAAGCGTTGGTCACAACCCACCGTGCGTGTTTTTAGTCCGTACGGTTTCTGGGGAGGCCACGGCCGTCACGTTTTTCTGAAAACATAGGGAGGGAGTGGCAAAGGTAGGGAGGGAGTACCGGCAACGCACGTCACACGTACTGGGGGTGAATCGGTAGCCCGAACGCAGCCCAAACGCAGCGAAAGTTCCTCGTGCACTAAAAGTGCTACAGTGTGTCTGTGTGCTCCCGAATCCATTCGGAGGCGGTCTCACCACTTGCAAGTACGGCGGGTTGTGACCACCGCATTAAAGCTACAGATTCCCGTAGAAGCCTTTGTTTAGACTTTTTTATTTGATATCGACCGCGCTGCAGTCACAGTTGTAATCGAGTATCTGCTATTGTGGTTATTGGTCACAATCTTAATCAATTTCGTCAAATCTGACTGCCAGTTTTTTATCTGCAATTTTTCCAATAGTTATTATATTCTTCATTATGTTGTAAATTGGAATTTTATTTGTTGTAAACAAATAGGAATTATGTGGTGCAAAGGTGTCCTGCTTCTCCAGCCAATAGGGACTTTTAGATTTGCATGTTGACATAGTAGACTGCTACTTGTGACATCCTTTTATACCGCCAGTGCCTTAAAAGGACGTCGCACGTAGCAGTCCACTATGTCAACATGCAAATCTAAAAGTCCCTAATGACAAATTGTTTCCCTCCTTTCTGAGGGTATCTCTATTACTCATTTGGAGTACCCCCTATAGGGATTCCCATTGAATTGTTTTCCTCCTTTCTGTGGGTATTTCTATTATTCATTTGGAGTACCCCGTATAGGGATTCTCATTGAACTCTCTGGCTTTGCATGAGTGCATTTCTTTTGTGTACGTGCTGGCATCAGCGAATGCTTTTTATGTACTAAGTTCACCCTGATTTAACTTTTTTGTTAAATTTTTGTTATCACTGTTACACAGTCTGTTTATGATAAAAAATCAATGCCGTCCATTTTTTCTTCAATTATCTCAAACCCTTTCAATTATAAGGTATGATATTGAAGTAGACCTAATCCAATTTGTTGCAAAGCAAGCTGACTTGACACATGAAAATTAATAGCTTGGACTTGTTCTCAGTACTCACTCTCACGGAGATCAATGGAGACGAGGGTTGAATAAGACTAGTATATAGTACTTAGTAGAAACCTAAACATTAGCTCAGTGCATTTACACTGTAATTAATAGCTTGGGCTTGTTCTCAGTACTCGCTCTCACGGAGATCAATGGAGACGAGGGTTGAATAAGACTAGTATATAGTACTTAGTAGAAACCTAAACATTAGCTCAGTGCATTTACACTACTACCAAAAATCATTGATTTTTCTCACATTCCGGTATTTCGACACAAAAAAATTTAAGAAAATGAGCTAGGAATAACAAAGTTCTGTATGCTTGCATTTCCATAATTTTATTAAACAAATTTGTTTTCACTGGCTGCCTGCCGTAGCAACAAACAGAATTGACAAAAGACTTAACTCCGTTTCGTTGACGATCAGCCATAGACGAAAAAAAGTTTTAAAGGGATACGCGTCCAGTGTCTTAGATCCTTTAGAAATAATCCTTGATTTTAATAGCTCATGCTCCAATGATATTTATAAACATTTAGGTCAGTCAAGAACTCCATGACTTTTACAAGCCGATCGTCTGTCTGATTATCAAGATATTAATGATTGGAATTACATGTTTTGAAAACCGTTCACTGAACGGTTTTCATAACACTAGAGTCTATTGGGGAAAACGAGTATGGTAAAACCGGTCATTCAAAGATTTTTACTTTTTTGAGGCACTTCTTGATCATTTTGTAGCGCTATTTTTTTTTAGGGCTTCAATATTACACCATATCACAGACACTGGTAACATGTAGGACCGTGTATCTCAGATTTAACATTGTTAAACGATCCCTTTAAGAAAGATATCCCCATACTTACCAGGTGGTAATTTTCTGTGGATACAGCGCGCTACATCGATTTTGGAAACCACTCGTTCGTCCGCATGCACAAGTACTGTATGTGTAGCGTTTATGGGGTGGTGGGAAGCCGGGAACAAATGTGTGTGATGCAATGCAGCGCTCCTGTGCTGATCGGATCAGATCTAGAGCGAATGCGGAATGGTGGTTTCCTATTTCACGAAAGTGTCATTTCTGTCTACAGCCTGGGCATGTAGCTTGGATGATGAAAATCAAGGTTCTACGTCAATAGTGATAAATTAGCTGAAAATACGAAGCAATGGCTGCGACATTGGGATTGTTGCGCACGTAATGCCACCACTTCACTTGTCTATGATGGCCACGGCCACTGCCACATATATCGAGCGAGCGCGCGCGCGCTCTTATAATTACCTCATGGGGAATCCCCATTTTATGGCCTATGTCAATATGCGGTTGTAGTGTAGAAATGAGTTGAATAGATGAATGAGAACAAAGACAGGATTGTTGCAAGCAAGTACTAGTACCTGCGTGTTGTGGTCATTGGTCACAATCTTAATCATTTTCTTCACACCTGACTGCCGGTTTTTATGTGCATTTTCCCCTAGTTTTCCTATCTTCATTTTGACATTGTTGTAGATTGGGACTTGTATATATTGTAAATTAAATGTGCAAATATGCCCCTCCCCTGCTTCTCGAGTCAATGACAAATTGTTTCCCTCCTTTCAGGGGGTATCTCTATTACTCATCTACCCCCTATAGGAAAAAGTGGTGGATCTAGGGGGGGGGGGCAGCCCCCGGCCAAAAACAGGTAAATTTAACCTTTTTTGAAGAAAAAATGAAGACGGGCCCCTCCCCCTTTCCTCAAGAGGGGGGGGGGGGGGGGGTGGTAGGTGGATGTTGAGTAAACATACCTCCCCCTCCAACTTATTCGCTTGCTAGCTGATTAGGCGCTCAAGAAATAAACAAATTAGTGCTCACTACCCCTCCTCCCATCCCATGAGAAAACACCTCCTTACCCCCCCCCCCCCCCCCCCCCCCCCCACGCTTATTTGCCGGCTGGCTGATTCGGCGCTAAATATTCTCTCACGAATAGGGACGAAAACAAATTAGTGCTCCTTAATTACCCCCTCCCCCTGTTGAGAAAGAAAAAAAACTCCTCTTACCCCCCCCCCCCCCCCCCGCGCTTATTCGCCGCTAAATATTTTCTCCCGAATTTGGCCCCCTATTTGGCCCCTCCCTTGCCCCCGGCTGGGAATACCGTTGAATCGTTTCCATCCTTTTGTTGTTGTTGTTATTGTTATTGGTGTTGTTGTTGTTGGGTTTTAAGGCTGTCCAATCTGAAAAGATTATTTCCGCCTGGCAATACCGTTTTTCGAGTTATTCAGTAATGATTATTAGATGGCGCTGTTTCCTTTTTTCTGGGTTAAATATTGATTCAGTGAGTTTCACAGCTTCCGTTCAATCGATGGTGTGAACAATAATTTAGATGTCGACCATGAACAGGGTGCAGGTATTAAATAATAAAGGTTAACTGTCCAGTGCTAAACTATATTTTTCCTTTCCTACCTCTCCGAGAGAGAGAGAAGGTGAACATAAAATAATATAAATACAAAATAAAACTTTGGTTGTTAGGCCTATATATATAATTAACAAAAACAAAAACGAAAAAATTAAATTCAATTTGCTCTTTACATCATCATGGCAAAGTTACGATAAAAGCCATCGGAGCGTACAGAGGATCTTTTCCCCCAATAAGTTATGTAAACTCCTTTCTTTTTTATTCAGCCATGCCATGTTCAATTTCCTAAAAACCCAAAGTCTGATGTCAGACAAGGAATCAAAATATACAAATTGTCATCGATCAACAAAGGGGATATCCAATCCCCTCACAATTCAGTTTATCATGGGGGTCGGACTCCTTAACCCCATGGATATATCACTGTCATCCAAAGGAAACTACGTCTCTTAATGAATTGGTAAAGATTGGTAAAGCGGCCCTGTTGCTTACAACTTAAGTGTTATAAAAAACAAAATGCTAAATATCTATGACAAATTTGCTCTCAGCCAATCAAATGCCACGATTTCAGTAGCTTAATAACAGTTATTACATGTTTAACATGAGGGGGGGAGGGGGTTGGTCTCATGCCTAATTTCACAAACCAATAAAAGCGCGGCTATACTGTCAAAGTGAACACATTCCCTTCCCGAGATAAAATAACACACCCCTAAAGTAAAACGTTCACTCCTTTATCTATTGCTCTGCGTACAATTTCTTTGGATTCGGGTATCGGCTGATTCGGCTCCGTTTAAAGTCAATAGAGCTGATTGGAACGCAAATACTTGCTTTAATAATTACAAGACATGCTTTTTTAATAGACTCCTCAACTACGTTTTTTTTTACCACTGTGCCAATCTTAGATGATTTATTTGACAAATTGTATAATTTTGTCGTATCTTTTGTCTAATATTATGTTATCGAATTTGTATGTATCGCATATTCATTTGAACTTGCTATATTATGTGGAAAATGAAAGAAACCTTGAAGCCTTAAAACTCAATCAACTGAAGTCACTATCTATGTGTACATTGCCCATTATGTACGAAGATTAGGTTAGTATTCGGAGGGCATCTAGGCACAGGAATGGTTACCATGCTCTCTCTCTCTCTCTCTCTCTCTCTCTCTCTCCCCCTTTAATATATTCTCTTTTCTTTTTTCACTGAACATCAAGGTGCCTTTATTTACATTTTACATAATTATATTTAAGTAGTCTTTAAACGGCGTCTCACCAATCAAGAAAGTTAAGAAAAACCACATTTTCAATCGTCCAACTTCTATATCAAACGTGAAACTGCAGTGGGGCTGTTAAAATGTCTTTGGGCAAACTTTTCAGAAACGGTTTTTCAATTCATGTGACAGCGACCCTGTTTAAATTGGGGGAGTTTGAAGAGTTTCAAGCTCATGTCAAGCGTGGCAACATGATGAACAAATATCAACTACATGACAAAGCCGCATCCAGGATGGGAAAGAGCCTAAGGAGGAGACTATCAACTAGTTATATGACAAAATACTTTGTAAAATTGTCCTTCAAATCTACCCCTGATCACATTTTTAAAACAACTTCCAACATCCGAGTTTAGAACACCCGCAATCAACAATTTAGTTGATGAGTATTTCTAATAATTTACGATTACCACCAACGTATTTTTAAAAACCTCAGGAGGTGGACAAAAACACGATCGCATGCCAACTACTTTCGGAAATCAACCTAAGGCACTTTCAATATATTACCTTATGCGTCCCCTATTGAAATGTCATAATTAGCATCCTCATCATCATTATTATCATGATAATTATCATTATCATCACCATCATCATCATTATCATCATCATCACATCGTCATCATCGTCGTCACCATCACCATCACCATTATTGGCATCATCATAATTATCATCATCAAGTATTATATTCCGAAGTAGCATCATCATCATCATCATCACCATCATCATCATCATAATCTTTCTCATACTCTCTCTTTCCAAATATTAAACTCCTCTTCCTCCACCCTCATTTCATAGCCCCCACCCCCTCTATCTCGATCGCTAATTGCTTGCCGTTTCTGTAATATAAATCAAACACACTGTATTAAAAAAGACAATTAGCGTTATAAATATGCATATTGCTCCGATTGTCTCATTTTCGCTCGCTCGATCACTGCAGCACAAACATAGCTCGTTCGACGTCACTACCAAACTAGCCAATCAGCTGTCAATGACGTCATATTGAATGCGGCGTCAAATATATTTTGTGAAATTATCGATAAATTGACTATTTCTAATCGCAAACTAGTTTTATTTTTGGATGGAAAAGCAGCCATTGTTATCTTGACATTCATTGAAGTCATCAGAATAGAGTAAGTTACTTCTCAGATGATTCAAGAGGTCCATTTTGTAGATAATTTTTTAATTTCTTAGAATGTTCCACTGTGTTGCAGGGTACCGGGTGTATGCCATTGGATGTGTTCGCGCGCTATAAGTACAGGCCACCGCGCCGTCGGGTGTATTCTCGTACTGATGTAGGTGCAAAGCTAGAATGGCTACCACGCCCACTTCCCTCTCTATGCCTTTCTGAACATTCTTTTCCTTCTCAATACAATAACTTTCACCTGCCTAAGTTATTCAAACCACACCGCCTCGCCACTTCCATTACGTAATCATTAAAAGGATCCGCATATACAACATTATCCTGCTATACGTTGTACTGCAGGACAATACAAATCTCCCTGGTATACCTTACAGTCCAAACGATAAATATGTGCCTTTAACGAAGCAGGCGACAATCGGCGTAGCAGACGACACTTGATAGTAATTTTGTATGTGAGATTGCTTTGCTAAATATAAATTACTTTGTTAATAAATATCAAATAAAATTTCTTTTACATTTCTTTAAACCATCATTGATATTTAATAATTCATGAGTGAGTAAAAGAAACATACCAAACTATATAATTATATGAAATACTTGGTGGCAATTAGGGGAGTTTGACGTGATGACCGATTGCACCCCTCTGTTAATAACCGAATAGTCCATGGTGTGTCATGAATATTCATGTTTTTGCTTACCTCGGCTAAATGTTTGCTTTTACTAAATTGAAAAATTACGGTGGGGGGTTGGATGAAATGGACATAATGAAATGGGCAGAAGTGATCTATGATAATTCATGCTTTTTATGTTTCGTGTGCTCGACCTATAATCTTCAAATCGCTTGGCAAACTGAGTCCAAAGTTAGACTTGTTTCACATGTGTATTATAGGCAATGACGAGCTTGCAACCTATTTTGAAAAATTACGGTGGGTGAATTACTTTCAAAAGTCAATGAGACATGAGGGCTCCAATGAAAGAGCTAGTGATAACGTACGTCGGGGTGGATGTGCTTTTCATTTAAACAAAAAATGAATTTTTAACGATTAAAAAAAAACACGTCCATAGGCTAACATGTTAGGCTGCTGACTCTGACCATGCTCTGACGATAGGGGGCGTTGGGAAATGAGACTAAACGGAGCAATATGCGTATGAAACTGTATAGTATTACCAAGCACACCTTTTATTTTTGGACAGTATATTATCGCAGCAGGAGAATTTATCACAAATAGTGTACAAAAGAAAAGGGTGGAAGGAGAGAATTTGTAATTTCACTCATATCTGATTTGATTCGATGTCAAATTTGTATCGGTCAGGTAATGCCTTTCTAACACAAACTTTTCTTGAATAGCCACGTGTGATGGGCATGAAATAGTTAATTGCCATTCTAAATCTTGTTCAGATATATTATGATGCGGCAAAACCTTTTTTCTT